TTTATTAAGTTTTCCAATAATATTTATTCATCTGTATGTGTTTTAAAATAAAATAACTTATTTCTAGCTGAACACTTGTTTTTTTACCCTTTACTTGAAATGTTTGTGTAGTCTCAGGTTCTATATCATCCTAATTCTTCAATCAAATGTTTCCCCTTTTCTTTGTAGAAATGAATAGCCCAGGTCTCCATCACGATGTAGAAAATGTCCACCTGTGCATATCTTAGGGCACAAATCCATGATATGTGAAGGAATTCACCATCCAGTGATTACTTTCTGATAAAATGAAATGATGGTATTAAAGAAAACCAGCTATATTTTAATATGTTAATAGCTTTTACATGTTTTTGAGGTAAATAACATAACATTTTATTATATTTTAAGCACATAGAAAATTAGAGAATCCTAACACATTTTAATACACCAAGTGTCATCAGAAATGTTGTCATTAATCTTATTAGTGTCCTATGTCATTTTATTAAATGAAAACAATATTTTATTTGAGCAAAAATATTTTTTCTTAGGCTCAACAGGATTTAATTACTCACATTTTGATTAAAGTATGTCTATACAGAAATCAGGAACAAACATTTTAAGAAACTACCAAATGTTCCTATGGATAACTCTTTCCACACAAGTTTTTGGGGTTGTGAAATATTTAAATGCTAAATTCTACAAAAACTTACCCTGATTGGGTACTATTATAAAACTGTTAGTTCTGGCTGCCAGCTGAGCACAGTGGTTGTTGAACCCAGGCTCCACTCCCAGTTCTGAGGAGTCTGTAGAATCAGGCAAGCATCTCGCCCTCCAGGAGCTCATGACCTAGTTCCTCTCTTGCTGAGTCATGTCCCTGTCTGATGACCTTCAGGCATGACATTGTGGGCATATTTATTGTAATGTTAATCACACTTGTACACTATATTTTGAACCTCATGTGGTAGTTTGAAAACGCTGAGGCAAAGTCAAGAAACAAATAGAAATTAAAAGATACCTGTATTTATATCAGCAGTTCAGAGAAGAGAGGGATTAATTCCAGTTGAGGAAATTTGGGAGTTGGGATTAGAATTGCACCATGGCAAGCAGGATAGGAGAGATGCCAATAAAGTAACAAACACAATAAATCCATATAAAATAACTGTGATAATGGGCTGGAAGATGGAAGAAAAGTCAAACTAGGTTGTCAGTCTATAAAATGAAATCTTTTTATTTGGGGTGAAGATGTTTGGGAAACCTTAGTGTCCTCCTTCCCCTTATTTGGTGTACGTATTCACTGTATTGGATTGCTATTGCTGCTGTAACAAATTATCACAAACTCTGTAGCTTACAACACAAATTTATTATCTTACAGTTCTGGAAGTCAGAAGTTCAACACAAGTTTAACTGGGCTAAAATCAAGGTGTCAGCAGGATTACATTCCTCCTGGAGACTCTAGGGGACAATCTGTTCTCTCTCTTTTTCAGCTTCTAGAGGCCTTGCACATTCTTTGGGTGGTTCTCCTTTCACCATCTTCACAGCCAGGAGTATTGTATCTCTCTGAACCTTCTTCCACTGTCATGTCTCATTCTCTGACTCTGACACTCCTACCTGCCTATTTTGGACCCACTTGGATAATCCAGGATCATTTCCCCATCTCCAGATCCTTAACTTAATCACACCTGCAAAATCCTTTTTGCCTGTAAGGTAATACAGTCACAGGTTCTGAGGATTAGGACTGTGGACATCTTTTCTGGGGTCGGGGGGCACTGTTCTGCCTACCACATCCACTCACCATTTCATCAAGTGAGGCAATTATTAAAACCCAACTCCTGGCTTTTTTTTTTTTTTAAAGATTTTATTTTTTTCCTTTTTTCTCCCCAAAGCCCCCCAGTACATAGTTGTATATTCTTCATTGTGGGCCCTTCTAGTTGTGGCATGTGGGACGCTGACTCAGCGTGGTTTGATGAGCAGTGCCATGTCCGCGCCCAGGATTCCAACCAATGAAACACTGGGCCGCCTGCAGCGGAGTGCGCGAACTTAACCACTCGGCCACGGGGCCAGCCCCCCAACTCCTGGCTTTTAATGAATATCCTAGTGCTTACTGTTCTACCAAAATTCACTTCAAGTTATTACTGTCTTTTTCAGAGAGCTCTCCCTTCTCCCTCCAACAAATGTTTTGGAAAAGGCCCTACTACATTTATAGGTCATCCATGGGCTTCAATAAACTAAATATTAATTGAAAAACATTTATATAATACCTTTTAAAATGCTGGAGAATGCCACTATTCACTTTGGAAGGACAGGGCAAATTTAACTAGTTATAGAGGGTTGAGCTCAAGAAAAAAATTACCATTTGTTATTCTGGCTGGCATCTGTGGTAACAAAGCCAAAACTTAGAAGAATAATTGCAGAGCAATTTACACATGAGAAAACTTTTATTTACTAATACATAATTTAAAAAAATACTGTTTTAATAAGAAGTCTTGCCCATACTTCTGTGGCAATGACAAAGAAGTAGGTTTTAATGGCTTTACTGAGGTATAATTGACATACAACAAACTGCACATATATAAAATAATTTGGTAAGTTTTGACAGATATATGATGAAAGCATCATCACGAACAACATATTGAACATACCCATAAATCCAAGGTTTCCTTTTGCCCCATTGTAATCTCTGTGCCCTTCTTGCCCCTTCCACTCTCAGTCAACCGTTCATCTGCTTTCTGTTGCTATTTATTACCTTCCATTTCATAGAATTTTATATAAAGATAATCATTTAGTATACACTCTTCTTTGGTCTGGCCTCTTTCACATAACTATTTTGAGATTCAGCCATGTTACAGCATGTATCAGTGGTTCATTCACTTTTATTGATCAGTAGTATTCCATTATATGGGTATACCACAGTCATTTACCCATTCGTTTGTTGATTAACATTTGGCTTGTTTCCCCTTTTTTTGGCTATTTTAAATAAAGCTACTATTGAATGTTCATTTACAAGTCTTTTAATGGATATGTGCTTTTATTTCTCTGGCGTAAATACCTAGGAGAACATCTGAGTTATATGATTGGTATGTGTTTAACTTTTTAAGAAACTGCCAAACTGTTTTCCAAGCAAGTTGTACCATTTTGCAATCCCACCAGCAGTGTATGAAAAAGGAATTCAATTTTTAAAAGTTTAAAAATATCTCATGACAAATGCTTGAGCACTAGCAGTGTGCAAGCCGTGCAACATCATGTGCTGGAGAAATGATTTGGCATTTAAGGAGGCTGCAGCACATCAATAAGGTATATACACTTATAAAAACAATTGACAGTGCAATGTGACAGTAAGTGTCAGGTGGGAGGTCCAGATAATGAATATGAGAGGACTCTGGAGTACAATGATGAGAGAAAGCTGATTAGATGAGTTAGGGCTTATTTGGGATGATTAGAATACTGGCAGAAAAGAGCTGCAGGCAAATTCATTTGTTAGGTTAAATTATCATAATTTCTAAGCATTCTTGTTCAGAGGAACCAACCACTACTTTCATTACAGTCATCTGCCTCCTAGAGGTATCTGTTGGGATTTATTAGTTATTGCTACATACCAGTCCAGGTCAAAATGAGTCGCTTACAATGAGAATTCTTTATTCTTTTTCATATGTCTTTGGGTCCACAGTGCAGTTTTGTGGACCTCAACCAACTTGGCTGAATCTCTGGTCTCAATCAAGGGTCAGCTGGGTGGCTTTGCAAGTTGTTCTGCTCCACGTCATCTCCTACTCCTGCAAACTCAAACTGATCCAGGCTTCTCATCATGATTTAGGCTGGGAACCACCACATTTTCTTGGCCAAAGGCAGTCCCAAGGCCAACGCAGAATCAGGATGGAGTGGAGCTGCAAAGCCACTCTGCACAATTTATGGGCACATGGATGGGTAGAAAATCAGAGCCATTTTTCTTCAATCTACCACATCATCAGAGACCAACTTGCCAACCATTTTTCAACGTTCAATGTAATTCCTTATTTGATGACGTCATCTAGGTAGAATTTGGCTGAGACCAAAGTAAGCAAAAAACGTCCTCTGACCTAGTTCTAAAATGCATGGTTGTCTGGATGCCAAGCTCACAGAAGACTAAAGCTTTTAAATTGGAAGTTGCTTAGTTAGCTACACCAAAACCAGAGAGGTCGGGGCTATGTAGGCGAGAACATAACTGTCCAATGGGATTACAGTCTGAAACGAGTAAATTATATTTGCCATTTTCTGGTTCGATAAGCACACAATTCATTTTATAAAGATTCTCACCCAAAATGACTTAAATTTCATATAATTGTGTTTTTATATCTAGTCAAAACTGAACATCCCCAAACCATCTATGCACCTGTAACCAAGATTATTGATTTATTAGCAGGCCTTACTCACGATCTAGCTAGTTCCTCTTCCTTGCTTCTTATAAATGAGCCCTCTTTAGAGGAAACCCTGATGGTGGGTCCCAGGGAATTTCTCCATTCTAAGAGGACTCAAGGCGGGATAGGCTAATGAGTTTCCTATTTTCCCTAGCTCATGAAAAATAAACCTCTGCTCCAAGCGTCCCTGACGGGCTTTCACCAAACGACAAACTCGCCCAAAGAACACATGTATTCCAGGATTCGGGGGTTAAAGTTCAGAAAAAAGGGCCCTACCCTTAGCCAAGCCCCGCCCCTGCACTTGGCCCCGCCCCCGGCCCGCCGGCCTCCGCCCTTTGCCTTCTCTGAGCACCGTTTCCCTAGGGCACCGCTAGGGACACCAGTTAATATGCAGCTTCACACGCTGACCGCGCGTGGGAATTCTGATTTTAAGCAAGCAGCAAACGGCACTTTGATTTTGATCACTTGGTCGGCAACCTTACAAAACATTGCCTCCAACAGTTCGCCCCCCGCTCCCCGCCTCCTGCTCCCCGCTAGCCAAGACCTGTGAGGAAACCCACACTCGACCGGAAAGAGCGCCAAGGGTGGAGCCTCCCTCGCGCGGCACCGCACTGCGGGTGCGCGCGCCGCCTCTTGCGTCACTCTGTCGCGCCCAGCTTCCCCTCGGCCGCGGCGCTTGGTACCGGCTGCGGCTGCTGCGGGGCCCGCGGTTGTGCGGGGCAGGTTCGCCTCGGCGGTGCCCCATGGAGGAGGCGACGCGCACGTTTGCAGATCCGAATGGTCGAACCTCCCACTGGACGGCGACGAAGCCGCTGGCCGCGCGAGCGCAGGAGCGGGGAGCCCATGCGGCCTGTGTGGAGGTGTGAGCAGAGGTGACCGGAGCGGAGAGCGGAGGGGAAGCGGCGCCGCCGGTCCGCCGGCTAGGGTGAGGGCGCCGCTCTATTTTCCTTTCGGGCAGGCGCTAAGGGGCTAAGTGTGGGCGGGCCTCCCAGTTTGGGTCGAGGAGGGCCCTTTTGGGGCGCCTTTCTTCTTCCTGGGGACTGAGCCCGGCATGCGCTGAGATGGACGCAGTCTTCCGCGTACCCTGCATCGGGGAATCCCACGGTGCATTGAATTGCCATTAAGTCCCACCGAAACCAGGCTTGGCCCTGTCGGGGGCTCGTGTTCACTAAAATAGTTTCTTTTGTTGTGGTGAGTTTTAGAAGATTGTTTCGGCTGCTGCGGAGATGTTAACTGACAGTTGAACAAATCTTAGAAGTCTTCTGTAACGTTTGAACAGGGCTATTTTAATTTCCTAACTTTTATGAAGTTACTGAATCCCTCTTTGTACAACTGTACAAAACTCAGTATACATCTAATTTTGTGCTTGTGTCTCTGTACTAGATTTTTCAATTCACTTAGTACAGGACTACATCGTAGTTTTGTTTCTAGAAAACCTATGAATACCATATGCCCAGTTAGTCTCTTTTTTTGGTAAGTAATAAGGAGAAATATGAGAGGATAGACATCTTTGTTCATTCCAGTAGGCTGTCTCTTGGAGCAGTATATTCTCGGTTGAGTAGATTTCATGTTAGTTGGTAAGTAAAACAAGTATGGAGGCTAGTAACCAAATTTTAAAAAGAACTTAGTAACTATTCAGTTCTTTTGTCTACTTCTGTATTTTCTTCTTTCCAGGCTGGAGTCACTCTGCCAGGGTTTAACACTTTAAATGAGAATAAAGCATATTATTTACCAGGAAATGAGAGTGAATAAATTAACCTCTTCCAGCCTTTGTTTCATAAGAGAGACCACGTTAAACTTACACGTGAGTTAAATTTTTAGTTTATAACTAGTGTTGCTAAATTAGGGTTGGAGATTTAGGTTCTGCAGTGTTTATAAGTACTGCTTTTAAAAATAATTAGTCAAATTAGAGGTCAGAAAAAATGAAAGCAGTGGAAACCAGGCAGAAGTAAATACAGAGAACTCTAAAGTTTTAATATGATGTGGGCAGCCCATATAGAAGTAGAGTCCAGTGGACCCTTTCCTTCCGTTTCAGGTTGTCTAATTTTCTGTGTGGTCCTCTGCATGTGTTTTAAGCTCTGGGAGGTTTGGTTTCTTTAGCTGTAAGGTGAGGGTAATGATACTTCTCATTATTGTGTGGATTAGAAATAATGTATACAATCACCTGGAACAGTGCCTCTATAGGTGTTCAGTAAGTGGTAGCTATTACTATTAGGGAGAAATAATAAAAATGAATTACACTAGTTTTGAGAATATTTCTATTATATAAAAATACCATGTGGTGGTAATGTACCTACCCTTGCTCACTCAGTGTCAGCCAAAGTGGCCTTTCTTTTCCTAGAAAACTGCATTCCTGCTCATACCGCCATGTCTTTGCAGTTGCTGCTTCTCTGCTTTGTTCCTTTCCTCTCTCTGTTAAGCCTTTGCTCAATGTTACTTTCTCCACTAGGCCTCCTAACCAACCTAGTTAAAATAGAAGTCTCCCAACCCACCTCCCCAGTTGGTAAACCTCCCTAGAAGGTAAACTCCATGAGAACAGTGTTTTGGTCTGTTTTATTCGGTGCTGTATCCCTCTTTCTAGAACGTAGTGTGTATTCATGTAAATATTTGTTAGTTGAGTAAGTGAGATAAGTATACCACCTGTCCACGGGGAGCCACAATGAAGCACATATGAGTCATGTACATAATTACATAATAATGGCTAGAAAAGAGTCCAAAGAGGTGCAGGCTAGGGAATTCAGACTTATTACTTTGGCGTATGAATTCAAGCAGGGCTTCATTGCAGAGGTGCTTTTTGAACTGGATCCCTAAAGACAAAAGAGATAATGTAAACAAAGATATGGAGGAGGAAAAGAAGTGGATAAGAATGGTAACAGTGTGTTGATCTCAGGTAGAACATGGGGTATGTGAAATATAGTATTAAGAAATAAGATCTAAAGGATAAAGTTTGGAACAAATGGTGAAAGGTCTTAGTTACAGGGTTGCAAAATTTGGTCCTCTTTCTGTAAACAGTAGGTAGCCATTCTAAGTTTTTAAGCAGGAGAATGAGATGGCAGAGATGTGTTTTATGGAGCAGTGTGTCAGCAGCATGAGTTTAAACTGGATTAGGGTCATGAGAGACATGGAGCTGTGAGGCTGTCTTTCAAAGGTAGACTCCATCTGGTGCTTGTATACAGTTTGGGTGATGGGGATGGTGAAGCCGCCGTCAGAGGACAGGGTGGAGAGTATTGAGCAAGAAGACGATGACCTATGCTGAGAGCCTGGTTTGAGCTGCCACTTGCTCCTGTTTCACCTCTGGGACTAAATGGAGACTACAGTGGGAAAGGCAAAAGGCTGAGAATGAGGAGACCTGGGTTCTAGTCCTGGTTCTGCTATCCACCAGCTGTGTGACAAGTTACTTAACATGTCTGTGCCTATTTTCTCATCTTGGGGCCCTTATCAGATATCTTTTCAAGCTTTTGTGAAAATGAAATGTCAAAAGTGCTGAGAGTGAAATGACAAAAGTTTAAAGCTGTAAATCTCTTGTAGTTTGTATAATTTTTGAAGTTAGCTAACTTTGGTTATTGTGTTGCCTACTGTTAGCCATTCTGCAAAGCAAATCTTAATTTAGGCTTTCCTCCCAGATGTTAGAATGCTAGTTCATGTTTTCCTGTTCCTTAAATTGTGTGTTTTCCGCATTTTAGAAGACAGTGGACCAAGTTTATAATTTTATTTTCTTTGAGATGTATTCATTTCATTTTGACATACTTGCATTAACAAAAGTTAACATAAGTATTTGTAAATATTAGTAAAGTCAGTTGTGAAACTTACGTTAAAATTTAGAAAGAACAAGCTAGAAATTCTAAAAGTTTTTTAAATTGTGTTTAAAATTTGAATAGGTTGTTTTCAGAATTTTCAGTTTGCTCAGCTGTGGAATCTTTGAGGATGGGGACTTTTGATCGTCTTTAAAACTGCAGTATCTGGCACATCATAGCTACTCAGCTTATGTTTGTTGAACAGATGGCCACATGTAAATAATAGTAACAGCCAGTGGCTGGGGAAGTGGAACCTTCCACCAGATTTTCTCTGAGAGGTGAGATGGACAGATTGCCACCTGGAGTTTGTCTCTGGTTTGAGAACCTAGTTGAAGTGAAACTTAGCAAGTTTTCTTGTTTAGCTGTCTTTAAACCTGGTCCTGCCTCATAGTTAATGCTTAAGAAATAAAAAATAATCTCTGTTTCAGGGTTTCCCAACTGTGATTGACCTTTAGTTACAGAGAGTGGGAGCAGAATTATCAGGTCTGAGAATAGCAAAGCAGCTCATTCCTTTCAGGACATCCACATTGATGTCCTATTTCAAACTGTAAGTCAAATGAGATAATACATTTACTTAGTTTAGTGACTGAAGGCTGCTTTATAATTTGACAGCTTGCAAATTGTATGTTGCTTGCCTTTCTTCCTCCCCTTCTGCTGCACACGCTGGTAATTCCATGAGTGAATAAACAAAACAAATAACCTGGATTCTAGAAAGGTGTATAAATCAAATTTGCCACTATAAATGAGTGCCTTTTGTGTCTAAACCACCACAAAGATCCAAAGTCATTGTCTTTAGGGAACTTAGAGTTTATCTTCAAAGATAGAATAATCATTGAGAATTAAATTTAATAAGGCCAACAATAAATAAGTGCAAAGGAGAGAGAAATGCCTGTGGACTAGAGCTGTTGGAGAACTCTTTGTAGCACAGCTTGAAGTGTGACCTGGCCTTGAGTGAAGAGCAGGCTGTAAATAGTAGGTAGGAGGACAGGAAGGCCATGGTGTGTCTGGCAGCGATGCCACTTATTTTAAGGAGCCACAATCCTGTATTGGGAAATGAAGTAGGCAGGAGGGGTGCAGCTCTCTAGCCACATGTGTAAGATTGATCAAACTAGTCAGAAAAGGCCTTCTCTGTATACTTTTGTGTGTTTGAAATTTTCCACAGTAAATAAAAAAGAGAGAAATAGATTTTAAATAGTATCGTGAAACTTTACATAAAATAAATGTGGAGAAAGTTCATATATAGGTCTACTAAAGTTAGGAACAGTGAACTTTCAGTGACCTTAGGATAAATGAATAAGATTCTGTTATAATGCTTTATTCTAGTCACCGTGTTGGTAGGGGTGGAATTTTTCCCCTATGATACCAGACACTGGGTAGATGAGAGCATGGGCAGTTTATTAGGCACATATACTCAGTCTGGGGAGGAGGACACCGCACACCATGCAGGGTCACACGGGGGCTGTAGAGTGAAAAACTGGGAGCTGTAGAAACTGATTGTTACAGGACTTTTCTCAACACATAACTTGCTTCACGAGTGGTATTGGGAGGACTGGGGATACTTTTCCAGATCCCTTATGAGACAGATCAGTTCTGAAAAGGTTTCAAACAGACAGCTAATCTTATGCATGTTGTATGTGACTGATACTTAGAAAAATTCAGAGGACATCCCTGACTTCAGTGTCTTATCTTCTTTCCATGTTTCAGTATTATCTTGGCCTAGATTATGATATGACCTTGCTTTGGGAACTTGCTAGTGGTTTCTGACCTGGTATCCCTACAGCTCTTGAGCACTGCAGAATGTGTTTTAAAAACCTTAATATGGAAATGTCCAAATATACACAAAAGTAGAGAGAATAATACAGTGAACCCCTGTGTGCCTAGCACTCATCTTTAACAGGGATCCCCATTTTCTGCAGACGTGTTTTGGTTTTAAAAAAATCTGATGGGAATTTTATAGTTACCTGTAGTAAGCCTGTTCAGGTATATAACTTAGCTGTCTCAGCGGCACGTAGCAATAAGCTATAGTCATTTTATGATCATGCTCACAGGTCTATGGGTCAGCGGGGATGACTCTGGTCTGTCTGTTTTGCTTTTCACAGAGTGATGGCAGAATGCAAAGGGACAAGCAGAACTGTGAGGGTCGTCTTAGGTCTAGACTTGGAACTGGCACCCTGTCACTTACACCCACTTCCCGTTGTCGAAAACAAGCACATGGCCATGCCCCAAATTATCGGGGTAGAGAAGACTATTCTCATGGGAGTGTTCTGGGGACCGTAATGTAACTCAACAGGCAAATCAAAACACTGACCCTTTCCTTTTATTTGGAATGTCAGCTCAGTGTGATAATACCGTTTACCGTTATTACAGTACATCATCACCCCTTATTTAATTGTCTCTTGTCTGTCTCCCCACTGAACACTAAAAGCTATCACCATTCTATGCAGAGAGCTTAGCATAGTGCTTAGTGCGCACAGCATATGTCGGTAAATACTGTTGGAGTGGATGGATAAAGTAATTGAGGGGCTAGGTAGATAGGAAATTAAGTTGCTTTTGTTAAAGGCCAGAGTCTCACAACCTGGAGAAAGGAAAAACTTGGCTAGTCAGTGAGGGTTAATGCGTGAGGGAGGATCCTGACTCAATTGCAGATTAATTCTGGGACTCAGTAGTTAAACTGTGAGACTGAAAATCACAAGACATACCAGAAAATTGGACTGGCAGTTAGTTTAACCAATCATAAATCTTGTTGCTGAAGAATGTTTTTTTCTCAGCGGAGTTCATGAGTTGACCACATGGAAAAAAATTTTCAGTCTTTGGTAAGCTTCTGCTTCCTGTCTGGTCTTATGGCTTGAGCCCTCTAGGTGCGTGGCCCTCGTGTTCTCTAAAAATTACATCAGTACCACATCTGTACCCTGCCAAACATCTGTCTGCTAGAATCCTCATCCTTTGCTAACAAAGTAATGTGAAATCTGCCTTCTTCCTATTCACCCCCAAGTAAGAAATAAATTACTATATGCTTACATCTACATAGATTTCTGAGAAGAAAATGTATGGATGAGAACATTTTGAGTTTCTCTGTATAGATTATTCAAAAAGGACATGTTTGTGAAACTGATAATTGTATTTATAAACTAGATTTGTAAATTTTTTTTTTTTGAGGAAGATTAGCCCAAGCTAACATCTGCTGCCAATCCTCCTCTTTTTGCTGAGGAAGATTGGCCCTGAGCTAACATCCATGCCCACTTCCTCTGTTTTATATGTGGGACGTCTGCCACAGCATGGCTTGATAAGCAGTGCATAGGTCCGCACCTGGGATCTGAACTGGCAAACTCTGGGCCACCAAAGTGGAATGTGTGAACCTAAGTGCTGTGCCACTGAGCCGGCCCCTAGATTTGTAAATTTTTGTGGCTGATTTTCATTCTATCAAATTATTTTTCTTATCAGCAAACTTTTGTTGCTATGGGCCATGATCTAAGACTAGAAAGATTTTTTTAATTGAGGTCATAATAGTTTATAACATTGTGAAATTTCAATTATATATTATTATTTGTCAGTCACCATATAAATGTGCCTCTTTGCCCCTTGTGCCACCCTCCCAAACCCTTAGCCCCTGGGTAACCACTAAACTGTTCTCTTTGCCTGTTTGTCTTCCATATATGTGTGAAATCATATGGTTCTTATCTTCTCTGTCTGGCTTATTTCGCTTAACATAGTACCCTCAAGATCCATCCATGTTGTTGCAAACGGCATAATTTTGTCTTTTTTTATGGCTGAGTAGTATTCCATGGTGTGTATATATACCACTTCTTTATCCAGTCATCAGTAGATGGGCACTTGAGTTGCTTCCATGTCTTAGTTATTGTGAATAATGCTGCAGTGAATATAGGGGTGCATAAGTCTCCCTGAATTGTCGATTTCAAGTTCTTTGGATAAATACCCAGTAGTGGGATAGCTGGGTCATATGGTATTTCTATTTTTAATTTTTTGAGAAATCTCCATACTGATTTCCATAGTGGCTGCACCAGTTTGTATTCCCACCAGCAGCGTATGAGGCTTCCCTTTTCTCCGCAGCCTCTCCAACATTTGTTATTTTTTGTCTTGGTGATTATAGCCATTCTAATGGGTATAAGGTGGTATCTTAGTATAGTTTTGATTCACATTTTCCCCATGATTAGTGATGTTGAACATCTTCGTGTATCTATTGGACATCTGTATATCTTCTTTGGAAAAATGTCTGTTCATATCTTCTGCCCATTTTTTGATTGGATTGTTTGTTTTTCTATGGTTGAGTTGTGTGAGTTCTTTATATGTTATGGAGATTAACTGCTTGTTGGATATGTGATTTGCAAATATTTTCTCTCAGTTGGTTGGTTATCTTTTTGTTTTGATCCTGGTTTCCTTTCCTTTGCAGAAGCTCTTTAGTCTGATGAAATCCCACTTGTTTATTTTTTCTTTTATTTCCCTTGTCTGAGTAGACATGGTATTCAAAAAGATCATTCTAAGACCTATGTCAGTGAGTTTACTGCCTATATTTTTGTCTAGGAGTTTTATGGTTTCAGGCCTTACCTTCAAGTCTTTGATCCATTTTGAGTTAATTTTTGTGTATGGTGAAAGATAATAATCTGCTTTCATTCTTTTGCATGTGGCTGTCCAGTTTTCCCAGCACCATTTATTGAAGAGAATTTCCTTTCTCCATTGTATGTTTTTAGCTCCTTTGTCAAAGATTAGCTGTCCATAGATATGTGGTTTTATTTTTGGACTTTCAATTCTGTCTGTTGATCTGTGTGGCTCTTTTTGTACCAGTAGCATGCTGTTTTGATTACTAGCTTTGTAGTGTATTTTGAAGTCAGGGAATGTAATGCCTCCAGCTTTGTTCTTTTTCTCAGGATTGCTTTAGCTGTTAGGGGTCTTTTGTTGCCCCATGTGAATTTTAGGATTCTTTGTTCTCTTTCCGTGAAGAATGCCATTGAGATTTGTGAACCATCCTTGCATCCCTGGAATGAAACCCACTTGATCATGATGTATGATCTTTTTAATGTATTGTTGTATTCGATTTGCTAGTATTTTGTTGAGGATTTTTGCATCGATGTTCATCAGTGATATTGGCCTGTAATTTTCTTTTTTTGTGTTGTCCTTGTCTGGTTTTGGTATCAGGATAATGTTTGCTTCATAGAAGGACTTAGGAAGCCTCCCCTCCTCTTCAGTTTTTTGGAAGAGTTGAGAAGGATAGGTATTAAGTCTTCTTCGAATGTTTGGTAGAATTCACCAGGGAAGCCGTCTGGTCCTGGACTTTGATTTTTTGGGAGGTTTTTGATTGCTATTTCGATCTCCTTACTGGTGATTTGTCTATTCAAATTCTCTACTTCTTCTTGGTCCAGTTTCGGAAGGTTGTATGTTTCTAAGAATTTATCCATTTCTTCTAGGTTATCCAATTTGTGGGCATATAGCTTTTCATAGTATTCTCTTATTATCTTTTGTATTTCTGAGGTGTCCGCTGTAATTTCTCCTCTTTCTTTGAGCCTTCCCTCTTTTTTCTTGGTGAGTTTAGCTAAGAGTTTGTCAATTTTGTTTATCTTTTCAAAGAACCAGGTCTTGGTTTCATTAATTTTTTCTATTGTTTTTTTTAGTCTCTATTTCGTTTATTTCTGCTCTAATTTTTATTACTTCCCTTCCTTCTGCTGATTTTGGATTTTGTTTGTTCTTCTTTTTCCAGTACCTTTAAATGTGCTGTTAGATTGTTTATTTGGGATTTTTCTTCTTTGTTGAGGTAGGCCTGAATTGCTATAAACTTCCCTGTTAGAACCACTTTTGCTGTATCCCACAGATTTTGGCATGTTGTATTTTCATTTTCATTTGTCTCCAGGAATTTTTTGATTTCTTCTTTGATTTCTTCATTAACCCAGTCATTGTTCAGTAGCATTTTGTTTAATCTCCACATTTTTGTGGCTTTTCTCGTTTTCTTCCTGTGGTTGATTTCTAGTTTCATACCTCTGTGGTCAGAAAAGATGCATGGTATTATTTTGATCTTCTTAAATTTATTGAGACTTGTTTTGTGGCCTACTGTGTGGTCAGTCCTGGAGAATGTTCCATGTGCATTTGAAAAGAATGTGTATTCTTTGTTTTGTTTTGTTTTTTTAAAGATTTTATTTATTTATTTATTTTCCTTTTTCTCCACAAAGCCCCCCAGTACATAGTTGTATATTCTTCGTTGTGGGTCCTTCTAGTTGTGGCATGTGGGATGCTGCCTCAGCGTGGTTTGATGAGCAGTGCCATGTCCGCACCCAGGATTCGAACTAACGAAACACTGGGCCGCCTGCAGCAGAGCACGCGAACTTAACCACTCGGCCACGGGGCCAGCCCCTATTCTTTGGTTTTTGAATGGAATGTTCTATATATATATCCACTAAGTCCATCTGGTCAAATGTGTTGTTTAAGGCCAGTATTTCCTTATTGATCTTCTGTTTGGATGATTGGTCTAAGTGGATTGTTAAAGTCCCCTACTATTATTGTGTTACTGTCTATTTCTCCTTTTATGTGTGTTAATAATTGCTTTATATATTTAGGTGCTTCTATGTTGGGTGCATAGATATTTACAAGTGTTATATCTTCTTGTTGGATTGTTCCTTTTATGGACATTTTAACTATGTTTATTCTTCCAATCCATTTGCATGGTCGAAACATTTTTTAAATATGAAACCAAAGCTCATAAAATCAATTTAAATACAGTGTTATTCTTTGTTTTCCAGTTTTATTCACTTATCATTGACAGGCAGCATTGTATTATTTAGGATGTGCAATGTAATGATTATATATATGTATATATTGTGAAATGATTTTACCGTAGTAAGTTTAGTTAACATCCATCACTCACATAGTTACAAATTTTTTTCTTCTGATCAGAACTTTTAAGGTGTACCCACTTAGCCACTTTCAAATATACAATATAGTATTGCTACCTGTAGTCACTGTGCTGTACATTACATCCCCAGAACTTATCTTATAATTGCAAGTTTGTACCTTTTGATCACCTTCACCCATTTGCCTCACCCCCAACCCCCTGCCTCTGGTAAACCACCAATCTGTTCTCTGTTTCTGTGAGTTCAGTTTTTAAGTATGGTTTTATATCATGATCCCACCTTTTAGTATAATTGTAAGAAATATAATTAGAGTTAAATATAAATAGTAAATATATTATCAATAGTAGTAATAAAGGAAGTATTATTCCCGTATGAGAAGAGAATTGGAGTAAACTTTTGAATTGCATATGAGCTATCATGATCATGCTATGAAAATGTCATTTTGTTTTGCATTGTTTAGATTTGAAGACTGCATCATCCTGCCTCCATTACCAGCAGTTTCTCTGTTCTGTGATCAATGTGATTCACAAGAACTTCTTAAGTAACAAACGAAATGAGCCAGGGGCATGGAAAATATGACTTTTATATTGGTCTGGGATTGGCTATGAGCTCCAGCATTTTCATTGGAGGGAGTTTCATTTTGAAAAAAAAAGGCCTTCTGCGACTTGCCAGAAAAGGCTCCATGAGAGCAGGTAGGTATGTCCTGTGTGACTTTGAAATGACATCAGTGTGTGCTCATGTACTCAGGTTCTTTGCTTTATGAGGTCACATCTTCATTCCTAGTGAGTATATTCAAAAGTTGAACTTTGCAAGAGTTGTAAATGTTTATAGGGAATCAAACATCGGTTTTGTAATGAGAAAAAGGAAATGTCAAAATGTTAGTTAATAAATAAATCAGTCCTACAGTTATTATCAAAATGAGAATAGGGACCAATGCCCAATTAACCTCCAGCTGTTTCTTTAAATTTTGATATGTCTGCAGAGAAATAAGGGTCTGTGAATAGAATCAGAATCTTATTGAAGGCTAGGATCTTTTGTCTATGATTGTAGAAGTTTGACCTTTATCTTTGACATTTTTCTTGATGATCTCAAATTTGCAGGAAGGTAAGAGAGGGCTTCCCTGGGTTGAAGAATGCTCAGTTCAGTGAACTTCTCAAGGGTAGTGTAACTTGTTTCCCCAGAAACTGCTGAGAAGTCATGAGACCCTGCGGGGATACTTGGTTTGATTGAACCCCGACTGTGTCTGGTGCATTCACCTCCCAGCATTATGTTTCATTTGGGTCATGTTCCGTCATTCAGCCTCTGCTTCAGTTCTAGACCTGCTTCTCATAGGAAGACCTGCTTTGGCAGTAAAACAATACCACCTTCTTTCTTTTTCCTGCCGTCTCTATGGCCAAACCTAATCAAGCAACCTTGAAACAATAGTCTCTACTGGAGTTTAATGGACAGAGGAGAAAGTATTGGCATATACTGCTTGAATAAGTATATTCCTCGTTCTTGGTCCTAAGGCAGGTATTCTTATTGTTCATGGTGGATATGCTTGTCAAAAGGTTCATTCACATTGGCCTTTTTTTTGGACAATAGCTTAAGTACTGGTTACTTCCTGATTTTATTAGTTTGGTTGGGAAGAAAGTCAAGTAAAAAAGCAGGATGAGCATCCCAGGAGCCGTAGACTGTGAGCAGTGTTCAATCTTTTTGTATCTGTTTAGTACAGGACCCTCTTCTCCAAAGTTACTACCTCATAAGTGGGGCTAATTCATACCTAAATGGCTTCTCCACTTTCAGACTAATTCATTTGAAGTTGGGCTACTTCTTATTGGTTCATTTTCTTTACTTTGTTTATTGAAGCTGAGTTCGTGAGACAAAAGAATGAAGTATGATCTGAATATAAGGATTAATTTAATTCCTTCACTCAACCGTATAGTACAAACCTAAACATTTTTAACCTGATCGTCACATCCCTTTTTTAAGTTAATTGTAAAAATTTTATCTAAAAAATTCCCTTATAACAGTCATGACGAAACCTTTATTCAAAGTGGTAATAGTCAACAAATGAGATATTTTAAAATCTGTCATTACTAATAGTTGTCATAAATTTATAGGAGTCTGATAATCTTCCAAACAAGTGAAATATTTTTTCATTCACAGGTCAAGGTGGCCATGCATATCTTAAAGAATGGTTGTGGTGGGCTGGACTGCTATCAAGTATGTATAGAGAACATTTGAAGAAAATATTATAGCTGTATATTGAAATATTTGCATATACTAACAGCCTCATTACTAGCAAATCTTAAAACTTTACATAAATCCTGTTGTTTTTGTGAACAAACTCAAAATATGTAAAATTTAAGCCTGGTAAAAGTCATTTAGCAGTTTAATAGCTCATTTAATTTAAATGAGAAAACTTTGTTTTACCTGTCTGATTAAAATGTCTGATATACCTATGTGTTTTTAAAAATTCTGCACAGCTTAAGAAGGTCATTTTGAAAGTGAAAGATCATAGAAAATAGCCTGGTTTTGATTACTGCCACTCCATTGATTTTCATTCCAAATTGGAAAGGAGGTATTCATTTGATAAGACTGTCCATGTTTATTTTGATGATTACTTTTAAAAAAGTACATAGAAAAAATGATCCTTAAGACACTGAGCCTTCAAAATATTGAGAAGTAAATTATGTAAATATTCTTTCTAAACTTAAAAGTGGGTGAAATAACAAAGAGACTGATTTGACTATTCATCCAACAAATATTTATTGGTCATTTCTGGTAAGCCAGTATTGTTCTTGGTGCTGGAGATAGGCTAGTCAAATAAACAGAAAAATCCTCATCCACCTGAGACTTATTCCAGATGGAAGATAATAAATAAGATGAATACATTAGACTGTGTATGTGTTAGTGATAAATACTAACATTTGCTAGGAGCAAAGTAGGGAAGGGATGTAATAAAATGAAGGATAGATAGGTGTAAATTTTAGATGCTGGGCCAAGGCAGGCCTCACTGAGAAGATAATATTTGAGTAAAAGATGTAAAGGAAGTGAGGGAGCAGGCCATATGGATATTCAGGGGAAGAATCTTCTAAGCAGGAGGAAACAATAAATGTGAAGGCCGTGAGGTGGGACCATGCCTGGCCTATTGAAGTGTGATAGGCATCCTCCAAGACAGGCCACAAAGATTGTTGCCCTCTGGTAGTCACACCTTTGTATAATTCCCTCTCACACTGAATTAGAGCTGGTCCAGTGTGACCAAAGACTACAGCAGAAGTGATGATGTGTGACTTCCGAGGCTAAGTCATCAGAGGCATTGTGGTTTTGTCTTGATTGCTTGGATCACTCACTCTGAGGGAAGCCAGCTGCTGTGCCGTGAGGACACTCAGGCAACCTGAAGAGAGGTCCCCAGGCTCCAACCAGTACCGACTTCCTGGTCATTTGACTGAGCTACCTTGGACATGGCTCCTCCAGCTCCAGTCCAGCCTTCAGATGACTGCATCCCAGATTATATCTTGACTGCAATTTCTTGAAGAATTCTAAGAAGTACCTACTGATCCCTTCCTGAAGCCTTTACCAACAGAAACTATGAGAAAACACGAAGTCTTGACCAACAGAAAACATGGCTTTTGCTGTTTTAAGCTTCAAATTTGGGGTGCTTTGTTAGGCAGCATTGGATTACTAAAACCTCAGGAACATTAAAGAGGCAAGAATAGTAAGGGAGTGAATGTTGGGGGAAGTAGCAGGGGATAAGTTCAGAGAAGTAATGAGGGCCTCGATCATGTGGGGCTTTGTAGGTCATAGAAAGGATTTGGACTTTTGTGTTTGATGGGAAGTCATTGGAGACTTTTGAGTGAAGTGGTGACATGACCTGACGTAGGTTTTAATAGGATTGCTCAGACTGCTATGTTGAGGCATAAAGACTACATAGGGGCAGAATCAGAAACCAGGTAGGAAGCTATGGCAATAATCAGGGAAGAGGTTGTGGTGACATGGACCAGGATGGTTGCAGTGAATGTGGTGAGAAGTGGTAGAATTCTGGATGTGTTTTGAAGATAGAACTGATAAGATTTGCTAAAAACAAGTTAAAAGGCTGGACAGGATATAAAAAGCATCCTCTTAAAAGCATCAAAAAGCCAACACAATAGTGAAGAATTACCAAGGCAAGATCAGGAAAAGATGTAGAGCTCAGAAGGACAAGCTGGAGACACTTCTGCCCTAGAGGTAATTGCAGACTCCAGAGCAGACAGCTGAGAGAGAAAGTGAACCTTTGAACTAGATTAATGTGAGTGAGAGTCAGGTGCTGCCCAGAATAGGAACCATTCTGGTACTCTAGAAAGGCTGCACCTTGGGATTGAGGTGGAGACTATGCAATCCCTGGCCATTCCTGAGGACTAGGTCATCTCTAGCCTTGGTCCTGAACCACTGGGGCTCTCTGGCATCTAGCAGAAGAAAACAAGTTTTCTCTTGAGGATATAATATCATCCTGACCTTAAACTGTTTCTCTATGTAATTTTAAAAAGAAAATGTCCAGGAAAAAAAAGGCAGATGAGATTAAGAAAATTTAGCAAAAACAATAGATAGAAACTGACCCACAGGCTCTCCAGATATTGGAAGTATCAAGACCATAAAAAAACTGTGCTTACTACAAAGAACTGTAGTTTTGGCAATAAACTGGGAACTCCAGTGGCATTGCAGATTTGCAGAAGAACTAAAAATAAATTATGGAATTGAAAAGTGCAATAACAAAATGGAGTGAATTGGTTTAACAGTAGATTAAGGCATGGCTGAACAGAGCCTTAGTGAACTGGTGATAGTTTGGAAGAAATTATCTAAAATGAAGCAGAGACAAAAGGATGGAGAATATAGATAAGAGTGTTATGGAATTTAGAGGATTCAGTGAATACTTGGGGTCTTAGGATAAGAAGGGACAAAGAGAATGGAGGAGAAGCAATGTTTGGAAAAAATGGCTGAGGTCTTTCCAGAACTGTCCAAAGTTATCAAACTACAGATTCAAGAAGTCTAACAAGACCTACTCAGAATCTGTAAAGAGAAAACTGGACCTAGGCACATTGTAGTAAAACTGATGAAAACCAAAGACAGTATCTTAAAAGGAGTCAGAGGGGAAAAATACCCTCAAAGGGGTGACAGATTAACAGCTGAGTTTTCAACAATATTTCAGTACTAAAAAACAGTATAATATATAGTGAAATATACAGTGGAAATACATCTCCAAAGTGCTGAAAAAAGTGGCTGGCATGGGGCCGGCCCTGTGGCGGAGTGGTTGAGTTCGCGCATTCCACTTCCGCAGCCCAGGGTTTCACTGGTTTGGATCCTGGGGGCAGACATGGCACCGCTCATCTGACCATGCTGAGGCGGCGTCCCACATGCCACAACTGGAAGGACCCACAACTAAAAATAGACAACTGTGTACCGTGGGGCTTTGGGGAGAAAAAGGAAAAATAAAATCTTTAAAAAAAAAATGGCTGGCAGAAGAATTCTCTACTCAGTGAAAATATTCTTTAAGAATAAAACTAAACATGTTTTGGACAAACCAATGATAGAAGTGTACTGTGCAAATTTAACAAGGTATTCTGTTAGCACAAAGAAATCTATCCAGATGGAATATTAGAGATGCAGAAAGAGAAAGGGGTGAATATGTATAGAGTGCATCCAAGTGAATCTTGATAAAAAATAAAGTGGTTCAGTGGACTTAAAATGTCCATATATAACATTATAATACACACAAAAAGTGATGACAAATAAATTGGCAGGGAGAAAATGGATTAAAGTATTCTTTGGTTCTGGCATTGTCTAGAAGGAGAATAAAGCCAAAACATTAACATTAGAGTTGCAGGTTAAGGATACATGTTACAAAGATAACTTGAGTTACTTTTACAAGAGTAATTCAGTAAAAGATAGGAGTGTATAACTTCATAATTAATGGAGGAAAGAATAGAATAATAAGAAAAAGTTTTAAAGTAAGAAGGATGAAGAAAGACAGAATATACAGGACAGATGACACATAAGAAAATGGAAGTAACCAGGCAAAATCCAGAAAGTGAGACTGTCTCCCAGTTTGTTTTTTCTTTTTAAGAAGTCAATGTCATGGATAAATAGGACTGGGAGACTATCCTAGATAAAAAGGTATTTGAGAACTTGCAGACAAATTCTTTGATGAATTCTAGAAGGAACAGACCATCTATAAGACATTTTGAGGATTATAGGGTAATTGTTAATATGAATTGCTCATTAGATGGTATTAGGGATTTGTTGTTAATTTTGTTAGATATGATAATGGTTTTGAGCTTAAGTTGTAAGTATCCTTATTTTTCAAGATAATGTATGTTAAGATAATGTGTGTTAGGAGTGAGATGTCATGATGCTTCTTATTTGTTAAAATATTAGCAGAAAGAAAACGCATTTACTTTAAAAAGAAAAGATCAAAAACACATTTGGGGTGCTGGCCCGGTGGCCGAGTGGTTAAGTTTGCGTGCTCCACTTTGGCAGCCCAGGGTTTCACTGGTTCGGATCCTGGGCGCAGACATGGCATCAAGCCATGCTGAGGTGGCGTCCCACATGCCACAACTAGGAGGACCCACAACTAAAAGTATACAACTATGTACCAGGGGGCTTTGGGGAGAAAAAAAGAAAAATAAAATATTTAAAAAAACAAAAAAAACACATTTGGGGAAATGGTTACATTTGTTATGTTTGGGTTGTTTATATATAACTGTTATTGACATTTTGTTTTTCTGACTATTTGAAGTATTTCATTACTGATCTTTAAACATTTAAAAAGAAAAATCTTTGAAGATGGATAGTATGTTTAAATCCAGGTATATCAATAATACCTTAAGTGAAATGCCCCAGTTAAAAGGCAAAGTGCATTGGACTGGAATGATAAAAAGAAACAACAAAAACCAACTGCATTCTGTTTACAAGATGCACATATAAACCATAAGGATAGAGAATGGCTGAAAGAGAAGGACAGAAAAACATTCCTGAAGAAAGTTGAGATTTCTCTTATTGATACTAGGCAAAATATATTCAAAGCAACAAACAGTGCTAGAGATAGCTGATTATTTCTTAAAAATCAAAGGTTCAACTCATCAGGGAGCTTTAACAGTTCTAACTTTATTTAATAATATAGCCTTGAAATATGCAAAGGAGCAGTTGACAGAACAGCAAGGAATAACAGATAAATTGAAAATCATGTGGTGAGGTTCTACTCCAACACTCCTAGCACTTGATAGGGCAAGCAGAGTAAAACTTAAAGCTATAGAAAATTTGAACAGCAAATTTAACAACTTAACTTAGTGGGCACATGTCACTAAACTCAACTTCAGATCTACATTCTTTTCAAGTGCATATGGACAGAGAGATGTGTGGAAATACAGAAATAGTATGTAACCCATGGTTCAAGAAGTCAGAATGGAAATTAGAAAATATTTTTAAAATATGCTTAAATTAAAAAGTATTTTAATACGTTGATGCCAAATACAAAATATCATAGCTTGTGGAATATAATTGAAGTAATTAGAGTAAAATTTATGGTTTTAAATAAATGTAATTGAAAATAAGAAACGTGAGGCATCTAATTCAAAAAAATAGGAAAAGAATGGCAAAATAAACCCCAAAACTTAAAGGGAAGCAAATAAAGAGAAGAGCTAGAATTATTAAATAGAAAACAAAGGGCATTAAAAAGCCAACATTTGTGTCTACGGTCAGAATACTGAAATTGATGAACCTTTCGTTGAAACTGATCACGAAAAGGTGAAGGTGGTATAGCTAAGTGATATAACTAGGGTTTTGTAGATATTACCATGATGTTATGAACAGTTTTATTCCAGTAAATACAAGAATAGTGATAAAATCGACAAATTTCTAGAACAATGAAATTTATCAAAATTGACAAGGATGGGGCCAGCCCAGTGGCGCAGCACTTAAGTTTGCCCGTTCCGCTTTGGCAGCCCAGGGTTCTCCGGTTCGGATCCCGGGTGCGGACATGGCACCACTTGGCAAAGCCATGCTGTGGTAGGCATCCCACATATAACGTAGAGGAAGATGGGCAGGGATGTTAGCTCAGGGCTAATCTTCCTCAAAAAAAAAAAAAAAAAAGACAAGGAAATAGAAAACTGGAATACTTCTCTAACAATACAGTTAAATCTATAGTTTTAAAACCTTTGCATATATTAAACCCTGGGCCCAGATGGTTTCATTAGCAAGTTCCAAAGTCATTTAAAGAAGAAATAATTGCAATCTTAAGAAACTTTCTAATTATAGAAAAAAGGGTATGCATTCCCCTGGTCTTCTTAAAAAGGCTAGCATAATCTTAATACCAAAAGCTGACTGGCATAGAATAAGAAAGGAAAAATATTCTAGTCTCATTCATGAACATATGTGTAAAAATCCTAAAAAAATAATACATCATGGGCAAACTAGATTTATTCTAGGGATGCAAAGTTGGCATAATTTTGGAAAACCAATCACTGTAATTTACCATGTTAACAAATTGAAGGAGAAAAATTATATAATTTCAGTAAAATTCAGCAACTATTCATGACTAAAAAGAAACCATTTCAGATTAGTAATTTAAGTGAATTTCCTTAATATGATAAAGGATTTCTAAGACAAAAAGAATTCGAACGATCACAGAATAAACACCAAAATGGGGAAATACTGAAGGCTTTCTTTTTGAAACTGGGAATAAGCAAATGACCTCTCATCACTCTTTCAGTAGTTTACTGGAATTTCTAGCCAATAGGGTAATGCACAGGGGGAAAATAGAGGATTAGAAAGGAATATATAAACTGTTGTTATTTGCTGGTTATATAATTGTGAAAATATACAGACAAATTATAAAATTAAAATTTAGCAAGATGGTTGGATACAGACAAAACTCGGCATACAAAACTTAACTTTGTTTCTCTATATCATCAGCAAACAAAATGAAATGTTAAGATGTTACCATCTGCATAGAGTTTTTAAAAACGGGAATTAGTTATAAATGTAACAAAAGATGGGAAAGATTCCCAGAAAACGAAAATATTTCTGAGAAAAAGAAAAATTGAGGGCTATATCATTTTCATGGATTGAAAGATTCGTTATTGTATGGGGTGGCCCTGTGGCCGAGTGGTTAAGTTCACATGCTCTGCTTCAGCGGTCCGGGTTTCGCCAGTTCAGATCCTGGGCGTGGACCCAGCACCGCTCATCAAGCCATGCTAAGGTGGCGTCCTGCATAGCACCACCTACAAATAGAATATAGAACTATGTACTGGGGGGCTTTGGGGAGAAGAAGAAAAAAAGATTGGTAACAGATGTTAGCTCAGGGCCTATCTTTAAAGAAAAAAAAAATTCATTATTGTAAAGTTGTCGTTTCTCTTACAGGTTAAATGCTATTCCATTTAAAACCCTAGGTGCTTATGTGGTACATAATAAGTTGATTTTAATATTTGTATGAAAATACAGAAGTCCAAGAAAAGCAAAGATACTCTTTAAGATGAAGAGGTGAAAGGATTTGTGCTACTGGATATCATGACTTATTATTATGAAGTTAACGCTAATTCAAGTCAGTATGATATTGTGCCAAGATAGGTACACAGACCAATAGAATAGAATGGGGAACCCTGAAACAGACCCATGGACAGTATATTTATGACAGAGGTGGCATTGAAGTAAGGAAATGTGCTTTTCAGTAAATATTGCTGTAACAATCCATATGGATAAGAATAAAATTGGATTCTGACCTCATTCCATACATAAAGATCAGCTCCAGATGGTTCATAAGCTTGAATGTGAAAAGCGAACACTAAAGGACTAGGATAAAGAATTTCCAGAAAGACTTCTTATCCAAGTTGTATGAAGCACTAACCATGAAGGAAAATATTTTAAAACTTGACATCAAAATTAAGAACTACTTTTTGGTCAAAAGTTTAAGAGAATGAAAAGGCAAATCACGGAGTGTAAAAAAAATAATTACAATGTTTTTAACCTACAAAAGATTCATGTCCAAAATATATAAAGAATTACCTCAAATCAATAAGAGAAAACAGCCTAATAGAAAAATGGGGGAAAAACTTGAACAGCTGCTTCACTGAAAGATTTCACTTAGCCAGTAAACACAGGTAAAGGGGAAATGCAAATTGAAAGCATGATAAAATAATCCTGTTTCCTGGTAACACAGTAGCAAACATTTAAATCCAACAGTGCCCAGTGTTGGGAAGAGTGTGGGACAAAGGGAGCTCCCATACACTGCTAAGTGAAACTTGTCAAAACAGGAGGTGAGTGAGTGATCCTTTTATGAGATCATGTCCCTCCTCTGCATAAGATTCCCCAGTGACTTTTTCAATTCAGAGGAAATCCTTATCAGGACTCACAAAGGTCCTGTACCACGTGACCCTGGCTGCTTCTGACTCCCCGGCCACTCTCCCCCTTTCTTGCTCTGCTGGAGCCACCCTACCTTCCTTGAGGCTCAGACAAGCCAGGCATTGTCTTTGCTGTTCTCCCTGCTTGGGGTTCTCCCCACACATAGCTGCAGGTACATCCATCACTTCATATCAGACTGGTCAGTTTCCCTCAGAGCGCCCTTGCCTGGCACCGTGATCCTGCCCTCACCAGCAAGCACTCTATTCCTTTCCCTTGCTTTGTTTTTCTAGATAATATGTTTAAACCCTTGACACAGGTATTTTGTCTGTTTTCCCCACTAAAATGTAAGTTTTAGGAAAGCAGTATCTGTTTTGTTCCTTACTGTATATCCTGATCCTAGAACAGCATCTGGCACATAGTAGGTACCCAAGGATATCTTTTGAATATAAGTGTTGGGTTTTTTAAAAAAGCCAGAGAAAAATACTGGAGAAAAGTGCTTTCACATCAGTTTTAGCTGCTTTTAATTGATTTGTGCTTGTTATCATAGGATATAAGTATCTACTAACATTTCTTATTTTAAAAAAAGTAAGCGTAAATTGTTTTTAATTGGTTTGGACTCTTCTAATGTTGATAATTTATAGGAGAACCCTTATGAATGGAGAAAATACGGAAATTACTAAATACAGTTGAAATAGTATATAAAAATATGTAAATAAAATGTAGGCATTTCCATTTTGAGTAGATATGTTCCTATCTGAGAGTTTTCTTTTGTTGTCCATCTCCCAGTGGGAGCGGGCGAAGTGGCCAACTTTGCTGCATATGCCTTTGCACCAGCCACCCTAGTGACTCCATTAGGAGCTCTCAGCGTCCTAGTAAGGTAAGGGACTGTGCTTCATGTGTCGAAACAGCGGGCAGTGTTGTAGTCCCTAAAGAGTGTTCAGTACCATCTAATTACACATGTTCAGAATCATTTACATTTAAACAACCTTGAGAACTTTTTTTCTAATGCTGTGTAGTAATTTGCTTTTAAAAAGTTATCTTCTGTGCATGGGCAAACTGTCAGTTTGTGCAGAAAATGCCCTTGTGTGTTGTCTTGTATTCAGAGCCAGCACTAGTTCTGCTTTGATTTCAATTTTTTTTAATTCCAAAGTTACACTTGTCACATTTATCATTTGACACATGTACATTTGGTAGGTGGGGTTTGGTGCTGAATAGATTACTATACTACAGAAAATCACGCATTGGGGCAGGGTTATGTGCCCCTGAAGACTGGCTTGGGGTCCTTGTTTGGAACGAGCAGTCCAAGACTTAATCCTATTTCTGGTATTTCAATGATTAGCCCAAAAGCTAAGCCCAGACTAAAGTCTGGATTTTGGTTACTATTCCCAAGTTGATTGCTAGGTAGGTATTGTTTTTTCAAGATAGCATGTATAAAAAACAATATTATATGTAAATTATGCAATTTTTCAAGATACTATATTATATATACTATATAAAGATATATTTTGGTACTTGTCTTTTACCCTTAATTTTCTCTATATTTTGCCATTATGTTTATAGGGTTATACTTTATTTTTTTTTAAGACTTGGATAAAACTAGCTATGAAACATTGAAATGATAATTTAATTAATAGGCAAATTATATAGAATTAAATGAACATGTAAGAAGGATACATCAACCAGTAGGGATAAATTAAAGTTGAGCAAATTTTAAGCATTGGTTTGGATGTAGATTCTTAATTAGGATATAAATTTGTACCATAGTTCCATTTATTCTAAATTTCATATTGATTTCCTACAGTAGAGAGATGGTGACTATACTGGTTTTTGTATGATGAAGCAGATGGTTCTCTTAGAAACTTTCACTTTATGATTGTGCATTTTCTTTAGCTTGGCTAAAGAATCTTTATAAGCTCATTGTTTTAGTTTTCAGTAATTTAAATTCTGAGTTGTTTTAATATTTAAAATGAGAAAAATAGCTGATTATTTTAATGTTCTCCACCTTCCCCCCATTTTAGTGCCATTCTTTCTTCATACTTTCTAAATGAAAGACTTAATCTTCATGGGAAAATTGGATGTTTGCTAAGTATTCTAGGATCTACAGTTATGGTCATTCATGCTCCAAAAGAAGAGGAGATTGAGACTTTAAATGAAATGTCTCACAAACTAGGGGATCCAGGTAAGAAAAAAGAAAAGCTTTATTATTAGTCTTACAATATTTTACTTTTTAATTTAGTTTTTGTTTTAATCCAAATTTTATGTGCATCTAAAGAGGCAAATTATTCTACATGGCTTATTATGAAAAATAAGTTGTTCTCCTCTGCCAGCTCCTAACCCCTTGTTTCTTTTGCTCTTTAATGACGTGTCTCTAAATGTGTTTATACCAATACTACTTCTTGGCTTTAGGCATTATCTATTATATCTGTTACCTGTTGAATCTATTTAGTTTTGTTTAAATGATTTGTTTACATTATTATCACTACTTTTATTCTCTCGGCTTAGACATAATACATTATGATTACTTTTCCTTTCTCGTTTGACTTATATTTTTCATGAACTACTAATTATCTTGTTTGCTTAGTTTTCTATGGATTTATCAGTCCATCTTGAAGCTCTTCCCTAGTGGTCTAATTCTGCTCTCAGTAATTTCACACAGCTTAGGTGTTCTTACAGTCTCATCTCTTATAGATCTCTCTCCGAGAGCATAGTTTGGCCTCAGTCTAGACTGGTATCTTGAGGCTGCCGACACAGTTGTCATCCTGGATTTTCCTCATCAATATCCTGGGGGATCTACTTCACTTTCTGTTTCTTCTTGGATCTCTTGTCTCTTGGGTTGACTCCTTCATTTGGTGGAGCCACTCTTGTAGGAGACAAGAAAGGCACAGAAGAGATGAGACTTTTTGAGACCTTGTATATATCAAAATGTCTTTAATCTACTGTGATCACTTGTCTTCTTACTTCCAATATTGCTGCTGAGAAATCACACGCAGTCGATTTTTCATCTTTTATACATGACTGATCTTTTGTCTTTGGAAACCTTTAGGGTGTCCTCTTTGCTGTCATTGTCTGACATTTCCCACTGACATGCCTAGGTATGGGTCAGTTTTTATCCATTGTGCTAGCTACTTAATGGATCTTTTTAACTTGAAAATTCATGCCTTACTCTAGAATTGTGAATTACTCCTTTGATATTCTTCTCTGTTTTCTCTTTGTGAAATTCTTCTTCTATTGATTGGACCTCCTGAACTAGACTGTGTATTTTCTTACCTATTTTTTCCTCATATTTTTACCATTTTGCCTTTTTGCTCTACCTTCTGGGATATTTCCTCAGTTTTATCTTCAAGCCCTTGAGTTTTTATTTCTGCTATTATATTTTTCATTTCCAAGAGCTTACTTTTGTTTTTTGATATTTTATTTTTTTGTTGTAGCAGAAAACACATAACATGTAGTTCACACTCCCAGCAGTTTGCATATGTACAGTACAGTATTGTCAGCCACATGCATGGTATCGTGCAGCAGGTCCCTGGAGAGTCTTAGTTATTTTAAAGTTTTTGCAAACTTCAATATCAGGATTATTTGTGGGCCTGTTTCTATGATCTGTTTTTTCTTTTGTTTTCAGTCATTTAGTTTTGTATTTTGGCAGTTTTGATTGAATGTTGGACATAGTATATTAAAAAGTATAAAGGCTCTAAGTGATTTTTTTTACTTCAGAGAGCTTAAGTTTCTTCTGGCAGGTAAGAGTACAGCAGCCTTCAACGTGAAGTGTTGTTTAAAGCTTTGTTGGGGCCACTTTGCATTTTTCCTTTATTTTTGGTCCTAGCCTTTCTCGCTCTCAACTGATAGCCTGGAATGTTTACTTGGACCCTCCACCTCAGCGAGCTGTGAAAGCCAGTGTCTGTCTCAGCACCCTGAGACTGTGGGCCTTTTGCTGAGCCCTCTGGTCTCCTTACCAGGCCTTCCACTTGGCTCCTCTGATGTACGTATGTACAGCTTCTGTCCCCACGAATGCCTTAAGGGGAATAGCACACAGAAATGTAGCCTCATGTCTCTTCAGTTCCGTCCTTTCTGGAGTCCTGGTCCATTTTGTCCCAATTGCTTAGGCAGCCCAAAATTCCAGCATTTTTTTTTTTTTTTTTACCTAGTCTAGCGAAACTTCCACAAGCCCCAAGTCACCACTTTCTGCTGGCTTTTATGTCCATCCTTACTCTCTGCTCTGGAATTGGCACTTGCCTCAAGGGAAAATGTAGAGGTGAATGTTGGCCTAACCTCAGAGTGCTTCCTTTTTCTCCAGATTCTCCCAAGTTCTGGCTGCTTTGATTGCTCTGGTATTTTACCATTGTCTCTCTGAGGATGTTAATGGTGGTTTTTATTGTTTTTGTGGGATGGTGATTTATCTGTTTTGAAGTTTTCCTCTGTCTACATGGAGCAAACAGAGGCTTTGCTTTTTTCTGTTTGTTTTGGTGCTTTTCTTGGTGATCCCTGGCTGCCTTCTGAAAATCAGGCTGGTCAGATTCCCAGCAAGGTCTGCTGCTTGGCTGCCGGCATCCTGGGAGTTGGTGGGAACCAGGGAGTTAATGTCATAGACGTATGCCTTACCCCAGCCCCCTATTTTTGTGCAGCACCGACATACTCAGCTGGCTCAGAGTCCTCCAGTTCGCTGTGGGAGGGGGAAAAGTCACTCAGATGTCTAGAACTGGTCAGGGATCTGGGGTCTCATTGCTTATTGAATGGATTTTCAGCCAGGCTTTGTTTTAAGTCTCCCCTTCACCCTACTTCCAGAGGTTCTTTGGAGCATTGTGTTCTGCAAACTGAGCCACTTTCTAATCTTTAATCAGTGCTGATATGGGATTCAGCTTTCTTAAAGGTGCTCTATCAGTTATTAGTTATCTTCTGCTTTCTGGCTTCCATAACATGTTGCTATCATCTCCTTACCTGTTCTTGTTTTTGTGTGTTTTCTTCTTTAAAAATTCTATTACTATTTATTTTATTAGTAGAGTTTGAGGAGCAGAGTATATGTATGTGACTTCCATGCCTCAGTTTCCTCATCTTAAAATGCAGATGATAGTATCTGTTATTACAGGGGAGTTGTGAGAATTAAATAAGTTAATCAGTGCAAATTGCTGAGAGAAGTGCCAGGTCCACAGTGCTACCCTGTTGTCAGCCATTATCGTGCTGGGTTCTGTTCTCCACATTCAACCAGAACTCCAACAGTATTCAAGTTTTGTTTACTGATTTGCTCTTAATCCCTAGATGTCTAAAAAGTTTACCTGCTTTTGGGACAAATTTGATTTGTAACTCTTGTTCTTTTTCAGTGGCTATAAGTTGTTGAGCATTCAAGGTCATCTCGTGATTTCTCTCAAGTTTCTGATTGTTCTCTTGTATCTGTCCTTGGAGTTAGTGCACTCCAGTGAGTGGGGAGTACTGAGATGCCTGATTTCATTTTCTTTGATAGAATTATCATGAGGCCTAAAATGCTACTTTAAAAATGTTAGTGATATAACAATTTGTGAATGTGAAGCATAGTTTAATCTTCCAGTGTGTACATCTAACTAAATTTTTATGAGTGTGCTTTTGCTGGGGCAGCAAAAGAAAGCTGATTTTTATGTTAGGGCCACACCTGTTCTCCTTCCTATTGAGTTAATATTTTGTTTTGGATTCTCAGTTTTCTTTTGGTACTTAAATATTTGACTAAATATAACTTTACTTTGCCTCCTCCAGGTTTTGTGGTCTTTGCAACACTTGTGGTCATTGTATCCTTGATATTAATCTTCGTGGTGGGACCTCGCCATGGACAGACAAACATTCTTGTGTATATAACAATCTGCTCTGTCATTGGAGCGTTTTCTGTCTCCTGTGTTAAGGGCCTGGGTATTGCTATCAAAGAGCTGTTTGCTGGAAAGCCTGTACTGCGACATCCCCTGGCCTGGATTCTGCTGTTGAGCCTTATAGTCTGTGTGAGCACACAGATTAATTACCTGAACAGGGCCCTGGACATATTCAACACTTCCATCGTGACTCCAATATATTACGTATTCTTTACAACATCAGTTTTAACTTGTTCAGCTATTCTTTTTAAGGAGTGGCAAGATATGCCTGTTGATGATGTCATTGGTACTTTGAGTGGCTTCTTTACAATCATTGTGGGAATATTCTTATTGCATGCCTTTAAAGACGTCAGCTTTAGTCTAGCAAGTCTGCCTGTGTCTTTACGAAAAGACGAAAAAGCAGTGAATGGCAATCTCTCTAATATGTATGAAGTTCTTAATAATAATGAAGAAAGCTTAACCTGTGGAATTGAACAACACACTAGTGAAAATATCTCCCGAAGAAATGGAAACCTGACAGCTTTTTAAGAAAGATGTAATTAAAAGGTTAATCTATAATTGTGTTATAAAGTGAATTTGAATATCAGAATGTGTCTGAAAAAGCATTGTTCTCAATGTTCTCTAGAGACAATCTTTTTTTTTTTTTTGAGGAAGAATAGCCCTGAGCTAACGTCCGCCACCAATCCTCCTCTTTGCTGAGGAAGAGTGGCCCTGAGCTAACATCTGTGCCTGTCTTCCTCTATTTTATATGTGGGACGCCTGCTACAACATGGCTTGATAAGTGGTGCATAGGTCCGCGCCCAGGATCCGAACTGGCAAACCCCAGGCTGCCAAAGCAGAGAGCGCGAACTTAACTGCTGTGCCACCAGGCCGGCCCCTAGAGACAGTCTTTTTTTAAGATTTCGCTAATTCGGACCAAGAAATTACTTTTATTTAAATGATGGTAGCTCACTAAAATTACCTCCGTATATGGCCAGTTCCTATTAACACTGTATTATTGTAGAGGTATTTTAAATTTTTCTTCACCGAAATCTAAAAGCACTAATGACAGTTTTAAGTCTATAAAAATGCTTTATTTTTTCACTGGTGATGAAAGTCTAAAATGTACATTTGTCATCCCCACTCCATCAATCTCTGACCATTTTAAGGCTTTTTGATTTAAAAAAAGAGCAAAATTATCCCAACACATTGTCCTATGACTTACCCTACCTATAAAAATGACTCCTGTTTGATGAATTCTTTTAATTTTGAAATGTTAGCTTAAAAGAATATCAAGTTATTAAATGAAGGAAACTCATTTACAAAACAAAAAAGGGTAAGAAATCGCCCCACCAAAATATTTCCCAGGCTGTGACCTGTCACCACACACATTCAATGGCCTTCCTAGATGACACTTGGTTAAACCAGTGCTGGTACCTGGAACCTTGATTACCATCTTAGATCAGCTCTTGTACTTTTCAATATATTTTCATAATGAGGTATTATGTCATTTAGATCTTCTAACAAGTCTGGGAAATAAAGTCAGAAGACTAGGGTAATTTCTTAAATTTAGCTCATGTTATAATAAAAAGAAATTGAAACAAAGTTCTTTTCTAAGTCTGAATGCTTAGAACAAACTTAAGATGTTTGTAAAATATGATTTCTTTGTACCAAGTATTTTACTTAGCTTAGGAGTTCATTTGGACCACTATATATATTGGCCTTTTAAAAATGTCCTTGAAGAAAAATGTTTACAGACAATTTCAAATGTATGCAAAAAAGGTAGACTAGTATAATGAACTCTATCCAGTTTCAGTACCTATCATCATAGCAATTAATTGGCCTTAAAAAAAAGAAAAGTTGACAATTTCCAACTGGGCAGTAAGGAAGAAAACAGGCTTGTTCCTACTCTGCTGCTTCTGCCCAAGGTCACACAGCTTGACCCCGTAGTGTAACCAGCCACCACGGGTGCCTCACTGTCCTTGCTCTGAGCAGGCAAGAGCCTCCCTTGGTAGATGGCACTAACAGTCCACACAGCTCTCCACTGGCTTTATCAGGGCAGAGTTGACAGTCTCCAAGTTTTATGAAATAAATTCCCCTTTTCCTGGTGTTTATTATTGACCCTCTAAGGAGGCTTTTTCTGCCTCCCCCCATGTAATTTTAATACCACAGATAACACTGTATATTTGTTGATGTGCTGTATCTATCTGTGCTTCATAAATAATAATAGAATGAGAACCAGTTTTCACCCTTGGGTGTGATCATGCCCTCACTGAGAATGCAGAGGTTAATAATAATAAATCTTAATTATTTAACATAGCACTTGAAATTGTCTTGTACATAACTGTTTACCACATTTTATTTGGTTTATAATTCTTATAAAACTCAGTAATATTATTTAAAGTGTTTATCTTAAAGTAATTTCTCATCATATTCTATACTTTTAATATAGAGTGAGCACAGATACTGCCTCTTAATCTGTAGCAGAATGCTGGGCCAGGGTGATTGTTCCCATACGAAAAAGAACATTTTTAGGTAACTTTAAACAGTACAGTGGTGTAATTTACAGACTTTATTTCCAGTAGCACGTATGATGCTCCTGGTTTGGCGTTCCATTTCCAAAGCCATATAGAAGTTACTCCCCATCATGATCTCCTCCTTTCTCGCAAGGCTGCAGGTGACCTAGACTCAGACCTCCTGGCCTGGTCTGTGCACAGGGGTAAGCAGAGGAAGGACCTTGCCGAGACTAGGGCACAAATCGTCAGAATAAATGAATGAACGCAAATAGGTTTCATTAGTTTTATTTCTGTAACATTTAAGTTATAATTCACAAATCAGGTTTTGTCACAACTGCATTTAGAAGCAGAGGAATCAAGTTAACTATGTTCTGTAACACTGACACCAAAAAGGGGGAGAGAACAATGACTTAGAAAAGGTTATTCATAAAAGACCATCAGAAAAAGCCCTAAATAAAAGCTAAATAATTAACTATTAAATTTAATTCTAATCAGTAACAGATTTTATTACAATTAGCTGGTATTAAGTTTCTTGCTTAAGTCCATAAACCTTTCCCTAAACATTACTGATCCTTTGCTAAGGGATAAATGGATGAACTCAGCAGCACTTTATGACTTAGCTAGCTGTTGGAACATTCGACAGAAAAATGGAAAATAATTTTGTAAGAACATGATGGCAACAATCAGCAACCAATATCCTCAGACTTTCTAATTATCAAAAGCATATACAATTTTACTCTAGAAAAATAAGTCAATTTTATAAAATTAAGCTTTTGGATTGAAAAGCACCCCCTTTAACAGGTACAGAGATACTGAAAAATAGTCCCTAAAAATCTTACTAAATAGGGTATAGAAAGAGAAACATGCCCTTATAGTTATTAAATGCAGTCAGCACTGAGACTCTTCAAAAACAGGTGAGATACATGCCCTCAGCTGCTGGCCAGGGACTGGTGGATAGGTGGCTGAAAGCAACGAACGTGCTCCACAGGTGTGCTCTCTCCATCACCTGACTTCAAGTACTTGTCCAAGATAGTGATTATCTCATCATTTAGAATCTGGAACTTGCGAATTCTTTCTACCATCTTCTTTAAAGGCTACAACAGTTAAAATTAGGATGTTTTACTATTAAAACATATTTTTCATGTTTTAAAATGTCAAGATATTCATATTTTCTCAGAAAAATTGACAAATTATTGACACACACCGTCTCTTTAATGCAACTACTGGAACAACGAATATACTTTGCATTTCTCTGTTGGTTTCATGCTACTAACTAGATTCCCCCATTTGTACAACTTACAGACTTATTCATTCAACAAACAGGTACTAAGAACCTGTGCTAAAAGCTGTGATTATAAAGAGGAAGATGATATGGTCAGTGGAGAAAGACCAGTAATCTAACACAAGTTTTAGATTTCCAGTTATTGTGGATAGGACACTTTGACAGACTCTTCTCTTATAACAAAACTGCATACAGAACACACACACGACAACAGAAAAAACTTTAAAAAGCATTGGTGATTCTGCCTATGCAGGAGGTAAAGCAGAAGCCAGGACTTCCTCAGGGACAGATGCCACCAGTAGCAGTGGGGTGAAGTTGGATAAGCCTGGGCTGTAAGCAAGCCAGACTATACCTAGAGACTCCCCATGAAGCCAGGACCCTATAATTAGGCTAAAGTGGTCCCTAGTTGGTAACAGCCCTTGGAGATGAGAAGCAAATGAAAATCTTGGGAGAAAAGCAATCCAAATTAAGTTCAAACAAGAGCTGACAAAAAATCCAACACACAAGGAAACATTTCATAGTTTTAGATACCTCTCAAGGCCTCAGATACTAGAACTAAAAGATATAGAATATAAAATACATGAAATGTGTAAAGAAATAAAAAATGGAAAAAATTCAATGAAGATAAAATGATCAATTACCACGAAGATATGAAGAAGAACCAAACTGAACTTTTAAATATAAACTAATGATTTTCCAAAGTAAAAACAGTAAACACAGAGCTGAAGTAAATTAGTTAAGAGAAGAAAGTACTCCAGGTACAGTTGAGGGAGTCAAGGAAATGGAGGTGTAGGAGGTAAAGAGTGGCCTCTCAAAGATGTCCATGTCTCAATACTTGGAACCTGTGAACATGTTCTTTGGCAAAAGGGACTCTGCCACGTAGTTAAGGTTACAGAGAGAGAACCCTGGATTATCCAGGTGGACCCAATCTAATCATATGAGCAGAGAACTTCCTCCAGCCGGAGGCAGGAGAGATGTGGCAGAAAGGAAAATTGAAAGATGGGAAGTGTGAGAGGGACTTGACTTGCCTTGGCAGGAGGGGGGCCACGTAGAAAGCATGAGAAGGGATGTGGGCTAAACAGCTATCAAGCAAAAGGGCACCTCAGTCCTCCAACTGCAAGGAACTAAATCCAGCCAACCACCCAAATGAGCCTGGAAGCAGATTCATCCTCAGGCTCCAGGAGCATCCAGCCCTACAGACACACTGATTTGGGCCTTGTTAGACTGTACACAGAGGACCCAACTGAGCCATGCTGTACCCAGACTTCTGACAGAGAGAACTGTGAGATGATAATGGATGTTGTTTTAAACCACTACATCTGTGGTAATTTGTTACAAGGGCAATAGAAAAACTAATATAATAGTGTATTAGTTAGTGTATAAAAAACACACTTTGACTACAACAAACGAAGCCAGAAGACTGGAATAGTATGCCAATAATCTGAAAAGGCTGATCCTATAAGGCTCTATAATATCAAGTAGATCTAAGTTCCTTGAAAGAGAAGGAAAATGGAACAATTAGTATTCTAACTTCTAAGCTACTTTACTTAGCGATTATATTTAGATTCATTTTAGAAATGAAAACAAAACTTATGTACTGGGATAAACAACACTCCCAGAAAAACTTTTAATAAACAAAGTATGCTTTTTTGGTGACACTTCCACATACCACGTTTTTGATAATCTCATCTTTGCCATCATGTTTCTGGACTTTAAGTAGATGGTAGCAGAAATCCAGTACAGCAAAGCGCCGCTGTTGCCCAAGAAGTACAATGATCATACAGCCAGCCCAGTGGAGCCCATCACCAAAACACTGCCTGGAAACAAGAAGCAGTGAGTAGACGGGGTGATCAATAAAAAATTATGAAGTCTTTCATGAGTCTGTCCCAGATGTCAATGACCAAGTCATCTGCTGGGAACAGGCCAAGAAGGGAATGCTGAGCAGCAGGTGGTGGGTCCCTGTTTTTGGTAAACACCTCTTCTGCGTTCTGGCACACTGTCTCCTAAACTTCTTTTAGATCGTGGACCCTCCATGAAGAATGACTTCAGGAAAACTGGATCCCATATCTAGAAAAATGCCCACCTGACTTGCATAAGTTTTCACGGGTTCAGAGACTCCCAAAAGCCTAGCCCTGAGTCACCTTCTGGGCATCAAGTAAGATCTTCCACATAAGTGGCTTTATAGCAGCTCAGCAGATTTCTAGTCTATTTCTAGAGGAATGCGGTCTTCTGTGTTAGCCCATGGCCAGCTTCCATTGTTCCCACCTCCCTGTCCACTGAGCACACACTTACTCGACCGTAAACTCGTGTGTTCCGACGGGAATGCAGTAGACAAACTGCATGGCGCTCCACAGTCTGTGAAACTCAACACACTCATCCACATGCATGACTCCATTGCTGGGCAGAGGCCCACGCCAGATGGGGTCATCCAGAAAGGTCCGGATCCGAGTCAGGATGACTTCAAACATAGACAGGCCACAGCAGAGACGCTCCTTTGTCAGCAAGTCCCCCTCTCTTGCAATTGCAATTTGCTGTAGGAAGGACAGAATATTGAGGCCACAACAGGAGGCAGAGTGCTGAAACCAAACTACTCTCGTTTTGATCTGACTTACTGGAAACTATCTTAGCTCGCAGAAGAGGACTTTTAGAAATAAGCACCAACAAAGAAAATATGTCAGCTCTTACCTATATGTCTTACAAGATTAAACATATGTCACAGTCAAGCTGTTCTCAAACGGGAGTGGTTTTGCCTCGAGGACATGTGGCAATATGTGGAGACATTTTTGTTTGTCATAGCTTAGGGTGGGTCTAGTGGCATCTAGTGGGTAGAGGCTGGGGATACTGCTAACCATCCTAGAGTTCATAGGACACTCTCCATAACAAAGAATTATGTAGGCCAAAGTGGCGACAGTGCTAAGACTGAGAAACCTTGATCTAGCTTAAAATGCTATAGAATCATGGGACTCTACCCTGATACCTTGCCTCCTATCTCAGAGACTCCCACTCTCTTCTGTTCTTAAAAACCTATGAAAAGCCTTCTTCATGAAAGGATGGACAACAAAAACCAGTGACATTGTTTACATCTTACATGCCAGGTGATGTTCTAAGCCCTTTTACGTATGTATTAGCTCATTCAAACTTCCCAACCACCTGTGCCGAGGTCTCGTTAGGAAACCCCCCCGAGACACTGAGGCCTGAGTAGGCCCCTCAGCTCATGATGACTTCTGTCTGGGTTTCACCTACAGCCTGTGCTCTCCAGCCCCAACCCCCCGATGACCTGGTGTGGACGCCCAGCTTGCAACAGAGACAGCTGTCACTGCACACATTACCTGAGGGGTCCCCAGTCTCTCAATCAGAGGGACGAGATGCAGCGGGGCATATTTTGATTCTAGTCTTTTCATTTTGGCATCAAGTCTCTCCCCCTCTGCAGTGGAAAAAATATTTTATACTCTGTTCCTTTGTATGAAAAACAATTGCAAAAGGTTAATTTTGTCAGAAAAAAATAAATGACAGATTTTTAAGTTAGCATCATACAGATTCTCTGGAAATTCTTTCACAGAACTGGCTCATCTGAATTTTAATTCAAACCGACAGAATTGCTTTTCTGTTCAATATTCACTTTTTAAAACTTACTGGAAATTACAAAAGTGATCAAAAGGAGAGACTAGTACAATGAACCCTCTGTGCCATCTGCTGCAATGATTATCAACTCACGCCACTTGTTTCATACTCAACACCCCAGTCCCATGCTATCTGGAAGCACATCCAAGACATATCATTTCAGCCCTAAATATTCCAGTTATTCAACAGTCATTTAACTACGTTACACTACAAATTACCCCCAGTTATGACTCAACAGGTGCCAAACTCAAACAAAAGTGGACTTTAGTTCTCTGGCCACACAGACCGTGGTCACCACTGCAAAGGACAGTCTAGAGTCCCTAGTCAGAGGGACACAGGCTCACCTTTCACGTGGACTCTTGGGAGAATGTTCTGAAAGGGTGCTGCATGCAACAGGTCACATGCTTCTTCTAAAGACTGAGAAAGAAAGAGAAGGTTGCATCAGGAAGTTTCTCTCACCGTAAAGCCGGACAGACAAATCTGGAGCTGAAAACAAGGTACATCTTTGCCATTTAGTGTTAAATAAACACTGGAAGCAGCACCATGCAACAGAACTCTTCGGGATGATGGAAATGTTCTACATCTGTGCTGTCCATTACGGCAGCTGCCAGGCACATGTGGGTATTAAGTACTTGCAATGTGGCTAGTGCACCTGAAAAATGGAATTTTTAATTTTATTTACTTTTAATTAAATATAGACATAAGTAAAATCCAACATTGAATGTGGCCTTTGTTTTCCAGGATTTACCATTCTGGCAGCACTACCCCCAAGTTTGCTACCAGCCCCTTAAGAACCAGAGTTTATAACAAGACACCACGGCAGAGACAGGAAGAAGGGCGCTTTCTCTGCAAACAGTGCAGGCGGCGGAAACAAAGGGGCAGCATCGCTTTTGTACGCAGCATTTACTCATTCTCCTCAGAGCCCCAAACAAAGTTCTGGACAGTTGCTCTGAACCTGTAGCTGGATCGAAAACTCCTTTAAAGAGGTATAAAACCCTACACTATTCAAGGCCCGTTCTCCAGAATAATGCAATGTGGAGAGAAAATTTACTTCAACATCAGGGGTTGCAGAATTCCTAAAACCCCACCATGAGCCCAAAGATGGTCTAGAACAGGGCATCCTTCCAGAGTCTGAGGGCTCTTATACCTCAAGGAAGGCCCCTTGGATTGTGGTACCTTCACCACGGAGAGGCAGGAAAGGAGAATGGGCTCTTGTGTCCCCTACTCTATACCCAGCCTGAAATCTTATAATTCCGTAGTAATAAAGCAAATTATTAAACAAAGAAATGGTTATCAGAAACTTAAGACATATACTGACTGATGAGATTTTTCCTTCTGAGGATCTCCCTAAAGATGATGCCAAAGCTAACATCAAGAAGAGGAAGAGTTTCTACACTCATCGAGTGTCTCACTGTCACTTAACATAAACAGAGTGAAGCAGCTAGTCAGCCGCCACCTGCTCCACCAGGACATTCCAGATGGAGACTGACCCCTCCACACCCTGTCTTCTGTTTCTAAGGCCAGAAGCAGTGCTTGAGCCCTTCATGTAGGATATATGTAATAGAAGCCACCTCCGGGCGAGTGCAAACAGGAGCACCTCCCCTGGGCAGGTCAAGGAGGTGTGGGGGGAGGAGAAAGGGACAAACTAAAACAAGGGAAAGGATCAGATGGGGACCGCACACTATATAAACACATAAAAGGAGGTGATGTTAGTGGAATACTACGCAGCTATAAAAAGGATGAGGAATGTCACCACTTACTAATGTGGAGGGGTCTCCAGGATGTATTTACTATCAAGTGACAAAAGCAAGGTGGAGAAGGGCGATTGGACTGGCTGCACCCACAGACGGTAGGAGGGCAGCTGGAAGGTGACTGACACAAGAAAGTGGCCAGGCCAATGGACTGAGGAAGGGAGACTTCAATAAGGGAAGAGAGCTGCTGGTGGGAAGGCTGGGGCAGAGCCACACGGGGGGAATTCTGCAGGTGGTAAAGGGCCTGCCACCTGGCAACACCACCCCAAAGGGGCTGACTGGCCATCTGTGCTGCTTCCAGGTACCACTGTCACTGAGTTCAAATCTTTGCCCCTAAACCAAACCAGGAAAAAAGTGTGAGAACAGCATTAAAAACAAGCAATCTAGAACTATTCTAAAACAAAAAGTTTATTAACATGCACAAGCTAAAAAAAGCTACATTACCAAAACATTTAGGTTGGTTTTAGGGAGTCTTTCACAAAGCTAGAAGATTTATCTATCCAATGCACAGATTCAGAATAAGATCAACATTTTTCACTACTGAATCAAATACTGGTGCCAGCCGGAGCCACCACTGCATGGCCTCACTGGACAGGACCCCTGGGGCCCCACCCACACACTTGGTGCCCTCAGCAAGTGGGTGACGGTTACCCTACTTTTCTAATGTTGTGACAAGTTGAAGGGCACATTTTCTCTTAATATCTTCATTTACAATAGTGGGAGCCTATGCAGATGCCAAAACATACTTTATTACCACCTTCTTTGGAGAGATCAAAATAACCACCAAGAAGACATCTACCCCTGGGTTGGATAGGACTTGGGCATAACCATCTGAGATGCAGTCAGAGGAGCCATGCCGTCTTCCAACTTGGAGAGCCCCACCCTGGCAAACCTATTGGAAAACATCACCCCTTATTTCCAAAAGGACAAAAGCAACACCACAAAACTCTAATCTGGTGCTGGGCCTGGAAGCAGACTCGTCCAACACAGAAGGAGTAGCTTCTCACCACCTCTACAAGGTGCGCTGACAGGAGGGGCCAGAGAAGGCAGAGGCAAAGGGGCGACAGGGAGCAGAGGGTGGGAGAAGGAGGGGCCAAAGGCATTCCTGCAAGGCACGGCTACCCTGTCCACAAAAACCACACATGGTGCTCACAAGAGCCCTCAAGCATGGGCCGAGGAATCTGCAGTGAAAACAAAACTGCACTCAACTGCATTGTAGATTGCCCTTTTCATTCACTTTTATTCATTGTTCGAGAAACATCCATCCACTCCTTAGCCGAGGTTTGCTTTAAGATCAAGTGACCACCATTTACAGCCTCTTTCCCAGGTAGCCAGCACTGTGCTTGTCACTAAATGGAGCTAAGTCCAGAGGCAAAGACTTGAGACACAGGCCTTGGTCTCAGAAGGAAGACACCGGGGATCCGTGTCAGCTGGGCGCCGGAGACCGGGCACTTACCAAGCTCCCAAGACCTAGAAGAGCCCTTCACTGAGGCACCAGTTCCCACAGGACTGTGGTGAGCCTTGAAGAGTGCTGGACAACTCTCAGAGGGATTTTGTGCGAGAGGCAACAGGTATAATTTAAGAATCTGGGTGGGCACGGATCGCATTGGTTCCAGATTTTCTCTTTCCCTAAGTTTCTAAGAGAGCATCACACTCCTTCCTGAAGCCAACAAATGTCCGGTCATTGCCCTGACGGTGAGTACAGACTGTTCCTTTGAGCTGACGAGAGACAAGTACTGTTTCTTCAGCTTCAAACCCCCGTGGTTCTGTAATTATTTTATGTTCATACAAGGCCTCCTTGACATCTTCTATTTTGGTAAAGAAAAGCTTTTGACAGTTTATCTTATTTGCTAAAGGGGAAGCTGGACCAGAAAAGAAACCCGCCGTCTAACAGTTCCCTGGCACTGACTAAATCAATTCTATAAGGCAGTCCCCCTTCAGTAAAACTCCCCGACCCTGACCCAAGCCAGTGACTGAAAGGCCTCTTCAGGCTTAGATGTACGTGGACGAAAGAGACTGCACCTTACGTTGTATATTCAGGAAAAGCCACCTGAAGGAAATTTTCCTATATTAAATAGCTAAAATTCATGATGAGAGATTACTATTTAAAGGAATTCTTCCTAATTTATCTGGCTGTTAAAAATTTACATATATTTAGGTAAAAGAGTCAGTCCTCCCCAACACGTTCCTGGAGGAGGCTGCCCTAAACACTGGCTGCTTACTGGTCCGGTCAGCCTGCCTGCTTCTTGGGAACTGCTGACCTGCCCTGTGACTCTGGTGGGTTCTCCAGGTCCTGCCATCACTCCTGCTGTGGGAGAGGGCAGCACGTGACGGGCTGCTCACTCAGGGTCCATGCCGAGTCTCGAGTGGTAGGGACAACGAGGGCCTGGGAGTCACCCCCTTACCACTACATGGAAAGGGTCTGCCTAGGAACACAGCAACACAAAGGGAAGCCAAAAGACACAGGCCCTGACAGGAGGCTATCAGCTCCTGGATGTGTCCACACCGGCCTGGGATTCCCTGACATATGAGCCAACATGTTTTCTTTTTTGTGTATGCGGGGGTAAGGTGGGCAGTCCAGTGGCTCAGCCCCTGGATGCCTGGCAGTCTGACTGCCACGCCTGAACTGTGCGCTGGGCACCCTGGCCCACGTCACTGCAAAGCATGACCCTGCCTTTGCCAGGGCCCTGAAGACAAGAGACTGCTTTAAGAAGCAACATAGCAAAGATCTCCCCAAACTGGTCTAGAGATGCAATGCAATCCCTATTGGAATGCCAATATGCTTCTTCAATACAACTGGCAAGCCGGTTCTCATACTTTCAGAGCAGAGCAGAGATCCATGAAGAGGCAACACACTCTTGAAGAAGAGGAAGGTAAGAAAACATGCCCTGTCAGGTATCAGGTATCAAGACTTAAGTTAGAGCTATAATGAGTAAGACAATGTGTTATTATGCCACGGACAGACAGGTAGATCAACGAGACATGGCAGAAAGCCAAGAAAGAGACCACAGAAAGCAGGTAGGTGAGAGGGAGACACTGCAGATAAGCAGGAAAGGAGGAGTCCTTCAGCCACTGGAGGAAGGACAGCTGGTTACCCAAAGGGAAAGAAAGAAACTTCATCCACTTCTCACATCACATACAAAACCAGTTTCAGGAGGATTATAAACTTAAATGTACAAAGCAAAACTTAAAACGTTTAGATAAAGAGATAAAAGAATATCTTTATGATCCCTAGGTAGGGAAGAACTTCTTTAAAAAGATACAAGTGCTAACCATAAAAAAAAAGACTACATTCAAATTAAGAGTATCAGTTTTTGACGAATCACCACTATTGGGATGCAAAGATAAGCCACAAACAGGGAGAGGTATTTGCAATATGTGTAATACATAAAGGATATATAAAGAACTTCTATAAACAAGCTGTAGAAAAATGGGCAAAAGACACAAATAGAGCATTTAACAAAACAGGAAGAACCAAGCAACAAACGAAGATGCCCACCTCCTTGGTCATGAGGGAAAGGCAGAGAAGGCCAATGAGATTCTCTGTTACACTCACTAGGCTTTCCAATTCACAACTGCCAGGTGACATGATATACAAGGGACAGAGGGACGGCCACAAATGATACCACAAGGAGGCAATCAGTGGAGAAAGTGGCTCTCCCACCATGCGATTGCTTAGTGGTGGTGGGCTGCTACTTTATTATGCTGTCCACCACAGCAGTCATGGGACACGTGTAGCTATTGAAAAGTAAACTAATGAAAATTTAAAAATCAGTTTTTCAGTCACACTGAGCTGCATTTCAAGTGCTCCACAGACTCAGATATGGAACTTTCCATCACTGCAGACAGTTCTCATGGAAGCCGTGCTTTATACCTTACATGTAGCAAATATGCATAATAAAACATTTTTACAACGCTCACATGGTAAAACATTCTTCAATGAAGAGCTACACTGCATTTTTGTTTTTCAATTGTCAGAAACAAATTCAAATTAATCTAGATAGTCACAAAAAAAGAATGGGGCTTTACAACACTTACTCCCCTTACTCCCATGAATAACCCCAATAAATCAAGCCTCTAAAAGATGTCTCCTTCTGTCACCTGTGGGGAGTGACTCAGCACAGCATGGGGTGGGGCCGGGTTGCCCACTCACCAGGCTCTGCTCGATGAGCAGGCAGAAGAGGACAGCGTTGCCCACCTCCCGCAGGTTCTGGAAGCACACCGTCTTCAGCTCTGCATACTCAACGATGTCCTTCAACTGGTGGTGGAAGAACTCCAGGATGCCTGCAGTGGCAGAGAGTGAGTGGTGGGGTTGGGAGAGGTTGGAGGGGCTGAGCCTCGGCAGGGCACAGGGTCCAGCCTGGGCTTCACAGCCAGGAGACCTCTGCAAGCCACAAAACATTCTCTGACACTGCCACCATGCCCGCTATGGAGATGACCACAAGTCACCTCACCCCAACATCTTCCCTGCAACAGTAGTTTGTCTACCACCTGGGCCCTGGGCCTCGGCTGCAGGGCTTCTTTCTTGGTCAGGCTGTATCTTCCAAGGAGGCACCACATTACAAGAATAAATGAGAAAGACCACATTGTCATCTCCAGCAGAGGCAGAAACAATATTTGATAAAATTCAATATCCCTTCACAGGCATAGAAAGGGATGTAGTCAATCTGATCAGCAATGTCTACAAAAAACCTGCAGCTAACAGCCTATTCAGTGGTGAAACCTGCAAGCTTTCTCCCTGAGCTCCAGAGCAAGACAACGCATCTTCACCATAGTCCTCGAGGCCCTGGACATTGTAATAAGGCGTGAAAAGACACAAGGTATAAAGACTGGAAAGAAAGTCAATGTTCCCTCACTTGATCTATACTTTCAATGCTGACCCAGTCAAAAATCCACAAGCTGACTCCAGAATTTATATGGTCATGCAGAAGACCTAGAATAGCCAGAAGAACCCTGAGAAGAATAAAGTGGGAGATCTACCAGATTTCAAACCCTCATCCCAACAGGTCGGGCCTTGAATGCCATTCCACAAGGACCCGAATTGCCCTGACTGCCTGAGAGGCTCTCCCTTCCTCACCATGTCCACACCTCTGTTCTCAACATTCCTTGGTGTGAACTCATCCCTCTAGGGGAAAAAACACTCCTTCACGTGTGTCATCCCCCAACAGGCACATATGAGTGGGACCTGTCAGCAACATGGCTTTACCCACGAGGTGATGCCCATGTACCTGGGCTATACCAGCCTCTGTGCTGACACCGGGTGGCAGTGGGCAAGAGATGTGACGAGCAGCCCTGCGGGCCACAGCTCTGCCCTAGACCAGCTTGGAATTTGGCCTAAATGGCTTCATCTTCAACATTTAAAATTCCCATCTCTAGTCAGGATATGAGCACTAGTTTTATTTTCCCGGCATTACTCATCTACTTTCTGACAATGAATTGAAGTTAAGTTCTCCTAAGCAAGGCCACACCAATGGTTATTTCCCTTCACAGTGGCTCAATGGGTCGTGTCACCATGTCCTCAAACACAGGAACAGCCCTGTGCAGGTACTGGGCACCACCTGGGAGCTCAGCCATACCAGCCGACTACTCATCAGAACGTCTCTCATTGGTGACCATGAGTGGACCCAAGTCACTTAATGAGACAGCTGTCCACCTTTCAGGAAAGTGTTATAAGATAGGAGACAAAAGGCAGTTTTCCTAAGAGACAAGGGCTCCCATGGTCCAATTTTATCCTGAACAATACTTCTGGGATCATTAGGCTGTTTATTTGGATAGCCCCAATCAGCTTCTGTCAGGCACATGGGCCTGGCACCCTGAACGGCCCATCTGTCCTAGAGCCCCACAGCTCCAGAAGGGAAGCCTGCCCTACAGAGGGACAGACTGCACTGTGGGAAAGCAGTGCCTTCATGGGGCGCCCTTGAGGCCTGGTCCCGTCAAGCCCAGCAGAGCAGTTGGACTGGGTAGTCAGCTTCCTGCCCCTCCCTGGGTTGGTGATCTTCACGGTCCTGGTGTTGTGGGGGAGCTGAGGGGCACAGGGTTCAGAGCCCTGTTACCCGTCGACAACTAAGAGGCATTGGCTTCTCCCACAGCTTCCTCCCCCCAAAACGGTGACTCCAACACACCTTCGGCACACCTGCCCCAGCTGACAGGCTGGTCTGTTTGTTCTACTGGAAACAATCAAGCTCTGCATGGGCTCCTGCCTCCTCCCACCCGGGGAAAGCGGGTGAGATCCATGTCAGTAACGCTCTTTACTGTGGCCTGAGGGCTGACGTTCGCCCTCCCCACCATACCCAGGGAGGCACCATGCTCACCGGGGAGAGCCGTACTTCATGCCGGGGCAGGCGGGCAGATCTTGGGCATCACCTCCATCAGCGTCCTTCACATACTGCAGGATCGTGCCTTGCAGCTGTGGGAGAGACAGGCTGTGTGAGCCTCCGGCTGCCACTGTCCTGGGAGGCTGTGGGCAGTGCACGGGGACTTCTGAGAAAGAGTCTGTTAGTAAAACATCTGGTTATGCCCAGGACTGAGAATCACTTTGGCTGAGAAAGGAAATTCCATCCACAAAAAGAAAGCAGCTTCCACCAGGGTGACTTGACACAACTGACTAAATGATGTTCTAAAACACAACTCCCCTTTCAGGAGGCAAGTGGCCTGACACATTTCTCAGAATGATACATTGTTAAGCAACACATGACTGTATTCTAATTGGTTTTTGATCGTGACCTACACAGATGCAGATTTTGTCAACTTCTCAGAATTTTGTCAGCTTTTGCTTTGCACTGCTAATGATTGTATCATCTTCCCGATAGATAGCTATTTTACTTATGTGGCCATAAACTCTGCTTCAAGCTTCCTCTTGACTAGTATGTGAATCATGGAAAAGACATGAAAATCTATATTTGGCAATAAAGAACATTAAAGAAATGGGCTTGATACCGGCTCAACACAAAGTTGACATAAGGGAAGCCATACTGTAGAAAAGAAACCATAATATAACTTTGAATGACCTCTGATTAACTAATCCAGACATGCTGTGTAGATTTTATGGCTCCTCCCAGCTGCTATAAGTTGACAACTTAATTCTTTTGAGTTCCTTAGGAATGTGATGACCCTGGGGCAGAGAGTCTCTGCTGATAGCCACCGTCAATGACAACTGAAAGACCAGGGTATAGGGCATTGCTCCAGTCTGTGATGCACACCCACTAAAACAAAAAACTGTCAGGAACTAAGAAAGACCAGATGCCTCTCCAACCCAGAGACCAGCCCCATATATAACTGGCCTGTAGTCCTTGTTCTGTAAGACGGTTCTTTGGGACATTAGTCGGCCACCTTTCTCCTTGCTAGCAAGCTGTAATAAAACCCTTTCTCTCCTACCACCTGCCTCTTGACTACTGGCATGTCTTGCAGCAGGCAGACAACCCCTCTTGGGCGGTAAGAGGCCCAGTCACAGAAAGATGATTAAGGAAAAAAAGATTAAAGATCGAGATTTTATAAAGTTTTCTTTCAGTTAAAAACAGAAATAAATTATGTATAGAAAACTAAATCCATGATAACCTACAAATATTCTCTCTCTCCCTTTTCAAAAGGACAAATAAAAGACTTTCCTGCACTAACTTCTCACCTCAGTCTGAAGTTAGACAGACGAGGATCTGAATCCTTCATTGCGACTTCACCCCAGCCCCCAGCAAAGGGGCACATGCCGTCCACCCTACAAGTGGGAATTGGCTCTCTCAAGGTAACGGGAGCCTTTGAGCAGCAGTGGTATCCTGCCAATACCACCACCTCAAAGCTGAGCCCCCTCTGCCCTTGCTCAGCCCTCCCCCATCAATAGCTCAGACTCCTCGTGGCCAACACGCTCGACTCCACTTGCCCCAGCATAAGTGTTTCTTTGAAATGTTTGTTTTAAGAAAACTCCTATTTCACAAATGAAAATAGGGGTCTTCGCAGAACTGTCTCCTCCCAGATGCTCACCAACTGAAACACAAAGGCTTTCTATAGTGCCCTCCTGGTTTCTGTTTTGTCTTCCATCTCCAGAGCACTGTCTTTTCCTACAAGTTTTGGGCAACAGCGGTGGTCCTTTACAAAAGGAGTTGAGGGGAGACTATGCGTATAAAGGATAATATTCTCTTACAAGAAAGGCTCTATTTTGGTACTGACAAATAGAAATGGCAAGCAATAGGATATATTGGAGTATATGAGGAAGCCATTTGCTGTAAACCTAATTTGGCCTGACTTTGTTTTTTCAAAAAGGGCCTGGCGGTGGCCATGGAGCACGCACTGTATATCTGCTTTAAACATTTACTATGGCAAGAACAAACGGCCTTAAGATAAAGGTGCAACTTCCCCCACATTGGCATTTTCTTAAGGATAAGCATCTTTCCTCAGGCTAGGAACTGATTGCTATGCTCACCTTTGACCACCCAGCTCACCTGTGACCACCCAGCTTGACACAACAGACCTGCCACCCTGCTGTGTCCACAGAGACAGCAGACCTACCTGCTGTGTCCATCAATCGCTGTGCTGACAGAGCAGTCTCGTGACTATTGTGAAAGGGACATTTCAATCATATGAGAAAGATCCTCTTTGGGGGTATATAACCACTCTGTATACCTCACTTCTTTGGTGCCCTTTCTACCGTCAGGAAGAAAGGCCCCGGGCCATGGTCCTCAGATTTTAGCTCAGAATAAACTCTCCCAAATTTTCATTTATAGATTGCTGATGGATTATTTTCATCAACAGTACTTAACTTTTTCTATGACTTAGTTAAAATAACATGGATCTTCTCTTGAATTAAGAAAGATGGGAGAGAAATCAAACTGTGTATGTTTGGAGCTAAACTGAACAGTCCAGATACAAAGACTCCCTGGTTTGTTCTATCTCAGTGAATTCAAAGCCTTGTGTGATTTATAATAAGAAACATGTATTTGGTCTTTGTCCCCATTTTCTGGCACAGAACTCCTAAAACCCTTGGAATTTCCTAAGTTAAGTGAGCCTTAAAGGTATCTTTTGTTATGTTAATGAGGTGACTTTGGAAAGCATCTAAGGCTGGGGCTGGTTGCCAGGAGAACCAACCACCTGATCAGAAGGTTGGAACTTTCAGTCCCATCCCCAGGCCTCCAGAGAGGCCAGAGGGACTGGAAGTTGAATCAGTCACCAACGGCCATTGATTTAACCAAGCATGCCTATGTAATGAAGCTTCCAAAAAATCCAAAAGGACAAGGTTCAGAAAGCCTCTAGGTTGGGGAACCGGAATGCTTCCATGTGCCACTGTCCCAGGCCCCAAATTCCATGAAGACTGAAGCTCTTTTGTGTCTATCTCTTCATCTGGCTGTTGATTTATATCCTTTAATGTCCTTTGTAATAAACTGGTCATCTAGTGAGTAAACTAGTTTCCTGAGTCATGTGAGCTGCCCTAGCAAATTAATCAAACCCAAGGAGGGGGTTGTAGAAATCTCTGATTTACAGCCAGTCAGTCAGAGGCAAAGGTGACAACCTGGACTTGCAATTGGCACCTAGGGGAAGAGGGGCAGTCTTGTAGGACTGAGCTTTAACCTTTAGGATCTGATGCTATCTCTAGGTGGACAGTGTCAGAATTGAGTTGAACTGTAGGACACACGGCTGGTGTCTGAGAATTGCTTGGTGGAGTGAAAAACCCCCTCTCTACATTGGAATTGGGTGCAGAACCCTTCACTGGGTGAAGGAAGCACATCAGAGGGAAACATACCAGGCTCTTGACAACCTTCAGCAGCTCCTCCATGACCACTGCAATGCCCTGGTATCCAAGCAGCCGGCAGATGACCTGGAAGTGCGGAGGTCCCACAAAGTTCCGGTAGCTGCCGTAAATGCTAGAGTAGGCCAAGTTCAAAGCCTGGGGGATAGAGAACATAAGTGTCTGATGAAATCTCCAGAGTCCTCAACATGGTCCCTACACACTCATGAAGATAAAGAATTATTATGCAAAGATGCACTCAACACACGGCACCCTTAGGTGGAGAGATCCAGAGAATCTGTTAGACTGCCTTTACTAGTATTTATGTCTTCAAACTGAAGACATGAAAAGCAAGCTTGCTAAAACAAAGAAAACAAAACAGTTTGGTTTTTCAACATTTATTAAACTGCCAGTTTTAAAGAAGCCATTTTGAGGTCCCAGAATGAGAAATGAATACATCTTAGAGCCTCACTGCTGTTCCATGGAGCTGCTTCCAATCTACTGGGGGAGACACCCAAGGACAGACCCTGATGAGGCCATGGGAGCTGCCTTCTGTGGGATGTACAGGCAGCTGGGAACGGCAGTCCCTGCAGGGTGGGCAACTGAGAAAGGTAGTCAGGATGGTCTCCTGTAGGAGGGAACCTCCAAGCTCATCTAAGGACACGGACACATACTCAGCAGGGAGATCACTAATATATGCATTCAGTGCTATGTACTTCCCTCTCAGAAACTCTTTAGCTGCATCCCACAAATTTTGATATATTTGCATTTCATTCAATTCAATGCCATTTTTAAAAAATTTCTCTTGACACTTCCTCTTAATCCATGGATCATTTTAGAAATGTGTTAGGAAATTTTCTTGTCATCTTATTGTTACTGATTTCTAACTGGAGCTCATGTGGTCAGAGAACACACTCTGTATGATTTCAATTCTTTTTTTTTTGGTGAGGAAGATTCGCCCTGAGCTAAACATCCATTGCCTATCTGTTGTTTTTTCCTGCTTGAGGAAGATTAGCCTCAAGCTAACATCTGTGCCAATCTTCCTCCACTTCGCATGTGGGATGCCTCCTCAGCATGGCTGCTGAGTGGAGTAGCTCCACACCTGGGATCTGAACTCACAAACCTGGGCTGCTGTACCGGAGTGTGCAGAACTTTAACCACTCAGCCATGGGGCTGGCCCCTGATTTCAATTCTTTTAATTTTGTTGAGGTTTGCTTTACGGCCCAGGATATGGTCTATCTTAGGGAATGCTCCACGGGCACTTGAAGAGAATGTGTTCTGATGTTGTTGGGTGGAGTGTTCTATACATGTCAGTAATATCCTGTCGGTTGATTGTGTTCAGTTCTTTGTTGCTGATTTTTCTGTCTACCTAGTCTATCAATTACTAAGGGAGAAGAACATGGAATTCCCCAACTATTATTGTGGAGTTGTTCATTTCTCCTTTCACTTAAGTTAGTTTTTGCTTCAAGTATTTTGAAGCTCTGTTGTTTGGAGCATAAACATTTAGGATTACTATATTTTCTCAGTGGCTTAACCCTTTTATCATTATGTAATGTCCCTTTTTGTCCCTGGTAATAGTCTCTGCTCTGAAATTTACTTTATCTTGTATTAACATAGTCACTCCTGCTGTCTTCTGAGTAATGTTTGCATGGTATATCTTTTTCCATCGGTTTTCCTTCACCCTACACATATCACTAATTTTAAGTGAGTTTCAAAGTACAGTCATGTTTCTTAATTCTCTCTGCCAATCTCTCTTT